TACATCTATGAAAGAGCCTGCCGTTGCTCAGTGGCGAAGGCACTCTGCCAATTGGAAGGGCGGGTTCCTTTATTATTGCTGGAGATAGTCTCATATTTGAAAATGCATTCCAAAGCTGAGCCTTTTTAACCCTGCAACTAATTAAACTTTGAATCCAGAAGTCCTCTGAAAGAACAGCTGATCCAGTTGGTATTCTTCCTATTTTAACAGAGTATCTGTAGAATGAGGTACGATACTAAAAGGGAAAAAGAGGTGATCTCAGTTGTAGAGTGACAGAATGAATCCTAACAATAAAAATAATTGCTATGTGGGCCATGGTGTCATCAATATGGCAATCACACACACAAACACACTTTCCCCTTTCCTTCAGCACTGATGTAAGAAATCATCCTACCACTGACTAACATTCTGATAGTGTTATTCGTACCTTTTGAAACATAAAAAGAATGCTAAAAAAATGGGGAAGGAGCTGATCCATTCTTCTTTACTTTTTTACTAATATCATGCTGGGAGACTGTACTAATTGGGTGCTTGGGACACAGTTTGAACCTAGAGAATCTGGATTTGCTACACTCTTTGGATCTTGTAGCGCAGAACTCTAGAGCTCCTCTGTGTGTGAGCCCAAAAGCAGAGTGGCAGTGGTGTACATGTCTTATTCAGGTCAGGGAAAGAACTGTGAAAAGCCCACATTCACCCTATTGGCTCTAGAGCAGGAAACACTGTGCAGGGACATATATGTGTGTGTGTGCCTGTCTGTGTCAGTGAGCATTTTCTTAACCTACCAGGTCACTGAGTTCTGATGACGCACATCAGTTGATTTTAGAGATTGATTGCTAGAGCTTCCCACTGACTGACCAGAGTAAACAGTTCACACTGCAGCCAAAGTTCACTGTAGCCAAGCTGAGTTGTCATGTTCCAGTTCTCATTGATAAAAAGGAGGGGGTGGGGGTGGAATAGAGAGCTGGAAGTCTTGCCAGGTTGTTGATGTGTCCATTCAAAGGGCAGCATGGAGCCAGATGGCTGTATTGTTACACACCGCTCCAATCTCCATGAATGTTGCGAGATTCCAGGGGTTGCAGACATACTTATCGGGGTCTGTGTTCCCTTTTGGGACAATGAGGCACAACAGATATTGTGGTGTCTTTACAATATTTGATTTTATTTACACACACACATATATACACAACCTGTGCCTAGATGGACTGCAGGGCATTCACATCCTACGAGGGTCTGTCTTCCCCCTTAAGGAAAGCACTGGATTCAAAAGGCAACCAAAAGCCATCCTCTCTGTCTCTTGGTTCCAGCCTGTCATCCCCGGCTCACTTGAAGTTCTGCCCCTTCTTTGCCTTCTTGCTGCTGACTCCCAGGACCTCCCCCCAGCATATGCCATTCAAAGCTGAAGCGCTGGCTAAACCTCACCTTTGCACTCAAAAGAGAAGGGCCCCCTCTCTCCCTTGCCTGGTAGCCTTGCCCTCTGATGGTTTCCATGATGGACCATCACTGGAACTTTGTCCCCTGCTAATGGCCCATCCAGCGAAGTCCTCGTTAGTATAGTGGTAAGTATCCCCGCCTGTCACGCGGGAGACCGGGGTTCGATTCCCCGACAGGGAGAAGTGCACATTTTAGGGACGCGGGTGGCGCTGTGGGTAAAACCTCAGCACCTAGGACTTGCCGATCATCAGGTTGGCGGTTTGAATCCCCGTGGCGGGGTGCGCTCCCGCTGCTCGGTCCCAGCGCCTGCCAACCTAGCAGTTCAAAAGCACCCCCGGGTGCAAGTAGATAAATAGGGACCGCTTACTAGCGGGAAGGTAAACGGCGTTCCGTGTGCTGCGCTGGCTCGCCAGATGCAGCTTGTCACGCTGGCCATGTGACCCGGAAGTGTCTGCGGACAGCACTTGCCCCCGGCCTATAGAGTGAGATGGGCGCACAACCCTAGAGTCTGTCAAGACTGGCCCGTACGGGCAGGGGTACCTTTACCTTTACCTTTAATGGCCCATCCAGGTAGCCCTGCTGTGCTTGGCTCGGCTCATTAGCATAACTAAATCCAGGGCATCGGTGCTGGGGCCCTGAGTGCCCAAGCACCCACAAAAAACCCCATGAAGAGACAGGGCACCCACAAATTTCAGCACCAGGGCCATGCACACTGCATGGCACCCATGGCCCTGGGCACCCACAGTCGCGGGGTCATACTGGCACTCCTGTTCTGTATTTAATCAAACCTTGATGAATTCAAGCTTTACTAAATCCAGGAATTATGGAATTTAGGGGAATTTGGCCCTCCACAAACCCACATTCATAACAGCATGTTCTCTTTTATGGCAAGCTGATCTTAAGACTCTGATCCTCCACAGCTCTGGAAGAACACTACAGAAACCACCTTGCAATGTCTGAGTGACACATCCATTAAACAAAACGTTGACTTGAACTTTGGGGTAGATATCTGCTGTCACAGCAATCAAATAATTTGGCTTGTATCTACAGCTTGATATGGAGCTTTGAAATACCGTAATACTGAATAATAATCCCGCTTGGAAGAATAGAAAATGTGATCTGGTCTGACATGTTGTCTCTATTAGCTTCTGTTAATGTTGTGAAAACATCAGAGCCTTGTGGCACTCTAAAAGATGAAGGGAGAAATTGCATGTTGCACAGAAATAAATGTTCATTTCTACTTGCCTGATGGAATGACCTTTCCTCTCCTTCCCAGGGTGGGGCTCTCTGATCCCCCAGAGCTGCTTTGTGCTGGCTCCTGATAGTGGAACTCCTTCATTGATCTAGCCCTTACTGATTACTTGTAGCACAAGCTTTCATGGATTAGAGTACACTTTTTCAGATGCATGGAAGGTTGTACTCTGTTGGCAGGAATCTGTATCCATCTGCAAGAATGTGGAGGAGCACAGCTCTGGTCTTCTCCCTCCCTGTCCCCCCCCAATAGCAGAATCAATGATGCCACATGGCAGAGCAGTCTTTGCTTGGGTCACGCCAGACGATGTCTGGCCCAAGGTCACCTAATGGCTCATGCATGATCAAAGTTGTGAATCGAAGTCTCGCCAGTCAAAGTCCAGCTCAGTATTGCACAACTGTCAACAGATCCATGACTGTCAACTGGATGTTATGTTGTGCTCTGCTGCTTCTTTGGGTTAACACAGCTGACACGGTTATGGGCTCTCCATGAGGGGGGGGGGGCTGGGGTGGTGTGCTCCTTCAAAATTTATCACGACATCTGTCCCTCTCTCCCTCTCCCTCTATGGGGCTGAATGGCAGTGCAAGCAAGGAGAGCCTGTGACAGTTCTATAAAAAATGTAAGGTAAGGAAAGTGACCACAAGAGCAGTCATGCCCAGTTTGCTTTGTTGACCTACAACAAAGTGGGAGAAGAACGCTTGGTCTTTTTTCAGCCCTAAACAAAAATGATCAAACTATTTAATGATGGTACTGGTGTTCATTTATTTATATAATGTTATCAAGAGTTCATCCTGTTTTAATGAAATGATGGAAATGATAGGGCTTGAAGCCACATTCCCTGAAGATGCTCAAAGCAGGTGTAGCTGGTGACACCGGCGTAAGACAATGTAAAAAGGCTGGTCATGGCTGGTGGACACGGTAGGAAGACTGGATAAGGGCAGGGATTGGCATTGTCTCTCTTTTGCTGATCCAATGTAGCCTCATCCTAATACACCCTTAATAAACAACAATACACATGTCCACATAAATACATGTGGCTTTTCAATATAAATAATAATAATAATAATAATAATAATAATAATAATGTAATTTATTATTTATTCCCCAGCCACTCTGGACGGCTCCCAACAGAATATTAAAAACACAATAAAACATCAAACATTAGAAACTGCCCTAAACAGGGCTGCCTTCAGATGTCTTTTAGAAAGTCAGATAGTTGTTTAATTCATTGACATCTGAAGGAAGGGCGTTCCACAGGGTGGGTGCCACTACTGAGAAGGCTCTCTGCCTGGTTCCCTGTAACTTGGCTTCTCGCAGTGAGGGAACCGCCAGAAGGCCCTCGGAGATGGACCTCAGTGTCCGGGCTGAACAATGGGGTAGAGATGCTCCTTCAGGTATACAGGTCAGCACCAACACTTGGAATTGGCTGAGAAACGTACTGGGAGCCAATGAAGGTCTTTCAGGACTGGTGTTATGTGGTCTCGGCAGCTGCTCCCAGTCACCTGTCCAGCTGCCACATTCTGGATTAGTTGTATAAAGCATTAAACAACCATTGGGATTTCTGATTCATTTTTAAAGCTGGTGCTGTATGATTGCCTGTCACTTACATTTACCGCTGGCGTCATCCAGTGGGATAAAGATATTCAGTACCAAACTCACCAACAGCAGAAGAGGTGTAATTGCCAGTTGACGCTGCTGCACTGAATTAGGTCCCCAATTCGCCCCAAATAATGGCATTGTTACTGTGACTCGCCAACCTGACTTTATCCTTTAATGGCCCAGGAGGAGTAGGGGAATGTTTCCTTTATGGAAGGTGATGACTGGGAGAATTACAGAGATCATCTCTGGAATGTGAAAGGGCTTTGAGAAAATGACCTTCACTGCTGATGGGAGCAGGGAAGGAGCTGGTGGAAGCAGAAGCAGTTTGATAAGGGGGGCGGGGGACAGAGATTGTGGGTGAGATGAGTTGCAAGCAAAAAGCTAGAAGGATCTTCAGGTGTAGGATGCCTGATATGAGATAGCGGTTCTTCTCTCTCGTAGGAGTGCACAGGCTGTTGCTGTTGGGAGAGAGATCCAGCTGCAACCGAGGAGAAGAATGCTGAAGGTCATCCTTGAGAATATTTGTGGGAATGTGACCTCAGTGGCCCTGCTCTCTGGGTCTTGTGAGGTTGTTGTAGCAGACAATCAGAAGCGGTGTTGGGGCAAAACAAGCAACATTCTGGAGACCGGGTGTGTTCGCATTACCTGCTTCCAGCTACTTACCCCTTAGCTGTTCACATCAGCAGGGCTTCAATTATATTCTGACCAAGGGGCACTGACGGGGTGGGATGTCTTTACTCTAGGCACAGGTTCACACACCTTGGCTAGAGATGAATTAGGAATGCCTTAAGGACTGAACAATAGTATGCTATAACAAAGTACAGGATACATATGAATTTTGGATAACGTTGAGTGAACACGGATTGAAAAACAGCACTGGAAATGAGGTTAGTGCACAGGAAACAGGAGCCCGCCCCTTGCTACGCCTCTGTTTTGCCCATGGAAAATATAGAAAAGGGAGTCAACCTACCAAGTTACCCAGAGAATAGGAACTGTTCCTCCTCCTGCCTCTCCCCACAGATGAGACAGCACAGGTGCTTGAACTAGGTGTAGCCAATTTCTAGCTACAGTGCTGCTCACTAATTTGCTAAGGCTGTCTTTGCCCCCCTTTCCAGGTTCTTGCCGAGGGCAGATCTAGATAGTGTTTCTTTAGGGATCAGCTGTGCTGCTGGAGTACAACCTGTTCCACACATACCAGGGATATTAGCCCATGCTGGCCTCCATGGGCGTAGACAGGATTTGGGGGGGGGGGCGCAGAACTGACGTGATGGGTCAGTTAAGTATTTCTATTGTTTTGCTGAAGACAGGAGTGCCTGGTGTGCTCTGGTCCATGGGGTCATGAAGAGTCGGACATGACTAAATGACTAAACAACAACAAATTGTTTTGCTTGATGGGAGGGGGGACCTGCTGCCCCCCCCCCCCGGCTATGCCCATGGATAATTGCTGGCCTAGAACTATCTACCCAGACAGGTTTCTACTCTTGGCAAACAGGCAAGAGTCTCCTGGAGGGAAAATGTTTGCTTTTTCCGAGGATTATTCATGTGCTTTCATCGGAGTGTCCACAAAAGTTGCTAGCAGCTGCCAAGCAGATATGCTCCAGGGGTAAAGGGAAGCATTTTGTATATTGGGGCCAGCCCTGGAAGAAATGACTTGGCACTAACTTCATGCAGGGCATTTTAATACACAAGGTTTTGAAAATTGGCAATACGGGAGAGAGGCATTTGAAGAGCGGAGGAGAATTTTGTCCAGTGTAGGTTTTACTTTACTAACGTATAGGATTTCTCGGTCCTAAACATACCTGCTCAGAAGTAACTCTTGCTGAGTTCGTATTACAAACTGAAGCACGAATCACTCTGAGGCTCATGTGTGAAAACAGTCTGGGCGGTTTTGCCTGCTCAAAAGGGAGAATGAAGGAAAGCAAAATCCAGGGCTGTGTGAGTATGCCATGATTTTGTCATGCAAGCATGAAATAAGTTGATATTAGGGCCTGGGTGCAGAGTCATGATAATCTAAACGTATTCATTTATTTTAAAGTCAACAGGTTTCCAATACATGGCTCTGAAGATAGACTTGAAAATGTATAAGCAATGCCCTGTGAAATCTCACACACTGGACTGAAGCCAAGTAAGATTTCCAGAAGCTGCTGTAAGAGAGAGGCAGGGCTCAGAATCACACTTTGCCCCGCCCTATGGCTAATAGAAATGGAATAAATTATATATAAAAAAGCACTTTTGTCCAAATCAGGGGTGGAGAATCTCCACCTGTGGGCCAAATTTGGCCTGGGAGGGATCCCAATTTAGCCCATGAGGCTGTTCCTCACAAGTTACACCCACTTGCCTCATACTCGACATCGTATATGATGTAAGGTATGGGGCAGATACTAACATGGCTACAAAGGTACCATCAGGAGCTAAAGTGAGCCCTTTTACTGAAGCAAGAACCCCTCCAGCAGCATGAAGCAGTGTGCATTGAAACTGCTGCTAAAACTGAAGGCCCTCACCTCATTTTAGCAGCAGATTCAATGCAAACCACCTTGTGTCACTGGACCAAGGCATGCCTTCCCCTTCAACTGAAGGACCCCAGAAGAGGTTTCCCACCACAGTCTAAATGTGTCAGAATTTGTTCAACTTTTCTTCCTTGATGTAATTCACATCCTGACCTTCAACCAAAGCTTCCCAGGGTAGCTGACAGTGATTAAAATTAAAAGTCAGCTATACAAATATAATGAAACCAATAATATAAATGGAACAGAAATTTAGAATAAAATAAGAAAGTCAACAGGAAATCCAGTAGCAGCTTAAGTCTTGCATCAACTATAGACATGGAGAGAAAAAATGTGCAAAAACTAGTGCAAAAAACAACTGTAATCTCCATGGGGAAGACGTTCCACACCCAGGCTGCCACAGTAGCAAGTGTATTGGTGGTCCTAAGTAAATGCCACCCCCACAAGCCCCATTGCTCAGATCCACATGGCACAGAAGAGGTGGCTAGCTCTGCCAGAAGATGCCAGGGCTAAGAGTGTAAGCAGATGCATACCCATATTCTTATTTAAATTGCCAGCAGGTGTGTTTTACAGTGCTAGGTGTATGTTAGCCTGGTCTGGCCTTCAGTGTCTTGTCTGACTGTAGCAGCAGCAGAAGCAACTCTGCTTCGCCATCTATCTGTTTCCCTGGTCTCAACCAAATTGGTTTATATATTTAGCATCTCCCTGTTTTGTAAGTTTTCTTGGCATGCATTTATTGACAGGTAACGATTGTCAATGGAAGGACACCGAAGGGAGATAGAGGAGGAGGAAAGCAAGGACATCTGGAGTGGGAAAGTGTCAAAGGCAACAGCAGCAGAAGGAGTGTGATGGAGTCAGAAGGAGGTAAAACAGGAGGAGGCAGATAAGCGACTGATCTCCGGATGGGAAGACCTTGGAAAGGGAAGACTAAACATGAAGGAAGGGCCCAACACTCTGGAGATGCAGGCAGCTGCTTTGCCACAAAATAAGGGGCAAAAACCTTCACTGATTTTGGCACAAAAAATCCCCAACCAGGTGGCATGTTTGCTCTTATTCAAGCTGTTTTAGGAATAATGAATAGGTTTTCAGTTGCATCATCATGTAGAAGTATGATATGCTCTTAAGCAAATGTATTTACTCCTATGTATTTGATGATACATTATAATGCAACTATAACCATAATGTTAGCCTTTGGCTACTGTTATTAGGAAGAAGCTGGTATCTCTTCTGCAACATTTCTAAGACTTTGTTGTGTCTATATCCATGCTTCAAAACTAGATTAATTAATTCAGGGAGGTCTAATTTTCTGCCTTGGTCAAAGCATTTCCTAATCTGAGTATCTGGTGTGGAAGATGCAAGGTCAAATTCTTCCCACTGCCTTGTCTTTATACATGCAGGTTTATTTTGCCCAGTCTTAGCTCACATCCAATTTATTAATGGGAACAATTATTCTATCAGAAGTTTAACATCAGACACGGCCTTCAGCAGTTGTGGGGAGGGAGGATTTATTATGCTTCACAGCTCCTGAACCCTCCCCATGGTTGGGAGATGCAGTATTCTTTATTTATTTTGCATACCTTTGGCAAAATAGGTCAAGGGAAGCTGGGGGGTCACCAACATGGCGCCCTCCACATGCTGTGGGCTACAACTCCCATTAGCCTCAACCAACATGGCCAGTGGTTGGGGATGGTGGGAGTTGTGGTCCACAGTGGTGGAGTTGTGATTTGCAAGGCCCTGCACTTGTGAGTGCACTGCATTGGCATAATGCACCTGCACTGCTCCATCTGCAAACAACATGCAAACACCTTGGGCCAGGGCTTGGATGTAACTGCAGGTGGAACCAATGCACACCGTCCCCCCACCCTTTTCAAAAAAAAACCTTCCAAGGGCAGGCAAAGCAGAGGAAGTAGAACAGTGTTGGCACTTCCCCCACCCACAACACCCTCCCAAAACCCAAGAGGTGGCAACTATCCTACCACTCCTCTCCATCTTTGGATGCTCAGTCAAATCCTCTGCTGCAAAAAGGAGGTGAGGCATTGACATCGTGGCCAAATGGTGATGGAAGTAGGCAAGCTTTTCCAGCTCCATGCTGCAGAGCCGGAAGAAGCATTGTGCCAACTTGCATCAGGTTGGCAACCCCCAGGTTAGATGGCCGCCTGTATATTAAGCTTCATAAATTTCTTTCCAAAAGGGCTTAATACTTTTTTTAAAAAATGCAAACTGAGTCCTTGCTGGCATAGGCCCTGGTGCAGTTAGTCTTTTAGTACCATTATGAATCCAGCCCTGCTGGACTCCAGAAACTGCTATTGCCTAGTGTCCAGTCCAAACAACTTAGTTATCAATCAGAATTCTGACTTCGCTCACTGGTTAAAAACACTGATGGGCAGCAGCAGCCAAGCTGGCTCTTGTAACAGAAACTGGTTAGAATGGTACCTACACAATGTGTTTCATAACATTGCAGATGACACCAAACTGGGAGGGGTAGCCAATGCCGCAGAAGACAGAATCAGGATTCAAGATGACCTTAACAGATTGCAAAACTGGGCCAAAACTAACAAAATGAATTTCAGTAGGGACAAATGAAAGGTTCCACACTTAGGCAGGAAGAACCAGCTGCACAAATGTAAGGTGAGGGACATCTGGCTTGCCAGTAGTACATGTGAAAAGGGTCTAGGGGTCTTAGCAGACCACAAGCTTAACATGACGCAGCAGCAAAAAAGGCTAATGCTGTGCTAGGCTGCATCAACAGAAGTATAGTGTCCAGATCAAGGGAAGTAATAGTTCTGCTTTATTCTGCCATGGTTAGGCCACACCTGGAACACTGTGTCCAGTTCTGGGCACCACAATTTAAGAAGGACATATTGACAAGCTGGAATGTGTGCAGAGGAAGGTGACCAATATGACAAAGGGTCCTGGTAACCAAGCCTTATGAGGAACAGTTGAGGGACTTGGGTATGTCCAGCCTGGTAAAGAGGAGACTGAGATGAGATGATATCTTCAAATATCTAAAGGGCTATCATGTGGAGGATGGAGCAAGCTTGTCTTCTCCTGCTTCGGGGGCTGAACAAATGGATTCAAGTTACAAGAAAGGAGATTCCAACTAAACATCTGTCATGTTTGATGATGTTGAGATTCCTGCATTGCAGGGGGTTGGACTAGATGATCTTGGAATCCCTTCCAACTCTACGATTCTATTCTTCTTCTCAGAAGGGCTACTTTTTCTTTTTAAAGAAAGCTCAAAGTCGGGGGCTGTTTGGGGGAGCCAATGAAGACCTTCATGGGTGCTGGGCTGGCAAAACCTGCCCTAATGGGCTGGCTTCCGCTGACTTTAACTGAAGAACAAGAGAAATGAAGAGCAAAACAATGCAGCAACCTAGAAATTCAGCCCTGGCACTTTGTTGCTTGTGTCCTGTTTCAAAGGTATCCTCTCAGTTCACAATCTATTATAACAATGAAGGGGGATGGAGGCAGCTTCAGTGCCCTGATTCTGTGCATATCTATAAATCTGCCACTGGCAGTGGCGTAGCGTGGGGGGTGCAGGGGGGGCGGGCCGCACCGGGCGCAACATCTGGGGTTAGGGCAAATCCACAGGTTAGGGGGCGCAAATCCACGGGTTAGGGGGCGCAAATCCACGGGTTAGGGGGCGCAAATTACTTGCCTTGCCCCGGGTGCTGACAACCCACGCTACGCCACTGGTCACTGGTAGTACAACAAAATATATACTGCACCATGTTGGCTGCCCCTGATGTAGACCATTAATTCAGGTTTCAAAACTTTGCTTTTCTCAGTGTAGAATCTGGACAGTTATTTTAAGCACAGAGTGGACATGCTTCCTGTAAGGTTTTCAGTGCTGTAGACACTATTGGTCATCAGCTGGGGGTCATCATAACCCAAGGCAAGTGGGGTGCAATCTGATTCAAGGTGAGGCAGCTATTTGTAGGCACTTCCTCTTCAGTCTGTTGACCAAGTCCTGACTATGGCATTGCAGAAGAAGGGAAGGATCAGAAAGTTGGAGAGATGGGAAAGTAGAAGAAAGTGAGGGTGCAGGAGGTTACAAAATAGAGCCCCTATTGAAGGCTGGAGTCAAAATCTGGATAAACAGCAATGGAAGACTGCTGGTCTATCCAGTGCCAGATGAAAAGAAGAGCAGGGCTCCTTCACCTGGCAGAGGAATTTCAGCAGCCATAGTTCACATGGTGAAACTCCCTCTTCTATGCAGCTATTAAAAGGTGCAGGAGCCCCTTCGTCTTTTGCATCAGGTCACTCTAGCCGGAAATGCAGCTTTCAGAAAGCCCTTGCACCAATTATTGATGACTTTCATGGTACACGCTCTAAAAATAAAAATTCTGACAAAGAGTTGGCCTCCCGAGCAGCAAGCCTGTAAATCTTCCAACAACAGGCCACTGTGCTCTGATGAGCAAAGCTAATTTGGAGGAATTGACATTGAGGGACTTGGCTCTGAACAAGCTGTGCAAACAGGAACCCAAGATAAAAAGCCTTGAGTAAGAGCTACTAAAACAAACAGTGTGTGAAGTGGCATGCTGGTGGAGTGGCCTCCTCAAGGCTAGAGTAGTTAGTGAGTGGGTGGGAAGGAAAGTTCCCTGAAAACGCTGCTTGCTTTGTGCTGCACATCTCTCCTTTCCTCTGTGAAAACATTTCAGCACATGATCCGAATTAGTTTGCAGGACTGGCTTGCCAGTCACTGAAAAAGAAGGTGGCAATTTTCTGTCCCTAGGTATGTGTTAGTCAGCTATATGTATGTACAATACAAAGGCAAAGTTTAAAAATTTGGACTCTTATTTCTCCTCTCCCCAGGGTTTCCTCCCAGGCACTTCTGGTAAAAGTTAGCTTTAAGTATTTTCAGAACAGCATTCAAAGTCTAACCAAAAGGATGGCATTCACCTCACCAGCCATCCCTTACTTTGACAGAATATTGGGAATTGCGATTGTGTACTATAGGATACAGTTGTACCTTGGTTTTCGAACAGCTTAGTTCTCGAACGTTTTGGCTCCTGAACACCAAAACCCAGAAGTGAGTGTTCTGGTTTGTGAACTATTTTTGGAAGCTGAACATCCAACAGGGCTTCCACATCTTCTGATTGGCTGCAGGAGCTTCCTGCAGCCAATCAGAAGCCACGCTTTGGTTTTCAAACATTTTGGAAATTGAACCAACTTCCAGAACGGATTTCATTCGACTTCCAAGGTACAACTGTAGCTTTATGTTTCTTATAATAATTTTTATTAGTTTTACATATAATCACATTGCGTAACATCATATCCTCTTATTAAATCTCTTTGGCTCTACTGACTGTTGACTTCCCTCCCGCCCGCCTAATGGTTTACAAAATTAAATTTTGCATCTTTGCATTTCACTTCCTTTCCTATTCTTGTTATATCATTGCCTAATATATTAAATTACTCAACCTGAATAGGCAGCAATTTCATCTTACAAATCTTCAGACAACCCTGCTAGTAATGTTAGTTGCTTACAGTTGTCTTTCAATTATAATATCAATTTATTCCAGTCTTTTTGGAATGCTTGATCTCGCTGGTTCCGGATTCTTCCCATCAGTTTCGCCAGTTTTGCAAAGTCCATCGGTTTCATCTCCCACTCTTCTTTTGTTGGTACTTCGTGTTTCCATTTTGGGGCTAACAAAATTCTTGCCGCAGTTGTTGCATAGAAGAACATTTTTTTTATCTTGTCTCAGTATCTCTTTATCTGTAGTTTTAAGTTTCTATCCCTCGTGACTACAGCATGGAAACTGAAGCGATGACCACCAGCCTCAGAAAGCAGATGGCATCTGAACATTGCTTCTAGCAGCCTGGTGCTGTAAAAACCTGGCATTTCCTCAGTTTGCCCAAGCCTGCATCAGCACTAGCAAATGCTTATAAGAAACCTCAGCTGTTTTCTGACAAGAGGCAACCTGCATTTTAGGCTCCATCACTCAGAGCCAAGCTAGACATACCTGGGGGTAGCCATGTTTGTTCTTCACTTGTCTCCCTCATTAATTTATAAAACAGGGAGAAGAGAAAGTATCCAATTTTAAAAGCAAAAGCAGAGGTGGAGGAAGCTTCTGTTTCCTTCACTCACACAAGAGCTCTTCATACAGAAATGTAAATAATAATAATAATGTCTAGTTTAGACCCTGGAGATCTTCTTACTCATTGCCATGGAGAACTCTGCTAAGATTCTGCTTTTCTCGGTACAGCATTTGATTTTGATATTTGTTGGCAGAAAAAAACACTGCCCCATTATGGTTTTTATTGTTGTAAAGCACAATTGATATTCACTTGATGAGTCATAACTGGACCGAAGTTTAATTACAGCAGTGCTACTGCTACCATATATTTTTCTTTTCTTTTCTTTTTTCCTGATGTTCCATAATGCAATTAAGGTAAATGGTTTAGCTGGTAGCACTTCTGCTCATCGCAAGCCAAGTGGGCAGGGGAGTAAATGTACTTGCAACAAATAATGGATTGTCCCAGTGTTCTTAAGCACCGCCAATCATTTCAAGGGACACAGAGTCCTCACACACACCTCTTCTGGCAGGTTCGGAACGCCAGCAACCCTGTTGTTAACTGAACCAGTTACGAGGCAGAAGCTGGTCTGGGAAGGATCAGAGAGGACCCCACACTTCCCATGACTCTGCTTCTAAACCAAGAGCTTCCATAGAAATAATTCAGAATATTGTATTCTGATTAAAGTTTAACCAAGTTGTGTGTTTTTTTTAGGACACTGGGTGATATTCAGCCAAGTTTTATGCAGAATAGGCACACTGAAATGAATGAACATGACCATATCAGAGCCATTTATGTTTATTCTGAGGAAAATAATAATAATAATAAAATAAATTAATAATAATAATAATAATAATAATAATAATAATAATAATTTATTTATACCCCACCCATCTGGCCACTCTGGGTGGCTCCCAACAAAATATTAAAAAGAAGATAAAACATCAAACATTAAAAACAGGGCTGCCTTCAGATGTCTTCTAAAAGTCAGATAGTTGTTTATTTCCTTGACATCTGATGGAAGGGCATTCCACAGGGCAGGTACCACTACTGAGAAGGCCCTCTGCCTGGTTCCCTGCAACCTCACTTCTCTCAGTGAGAGAACTGCCAGGAGGCCCTCATCGCTGGACCTCAGTGTCTGGGCTGGACGATGGGGGTGGAGACGCTCCTTCAGGAAATCTTAGTGGAATACGACCCTTCATGTTTCAGTGCTTGTCCAAATAATCCAATATAATTTTCAAAGCCTACTTCCAAATCATTTGTTTCTCCCCATTCTTCTATATAATGAGCTCCCAAAATCCATTACCTCATCTTCCCCTATTTCCCATCCTTCCCACCTTCAGTCTTTCTTCTACCCAAATAGTACTTACATGGCCACTCATTTAGTTCATTGCCTTCCCATCCTAAGACCTCCACTCCTCTAGCCTTTAACCCCATGGCTCTGCCTAAATCCCTCCAGCTTGAGCACAATGACAACTGTCACACTTTCCTCCCAGTCACAAGATCTACCTGCCCTGGGCCTCTGGTGATAAAACGAATGGATGACTGCAAGCCTAATCTTCCTCTTGGTCTCTGCTTGAGAAGAAAGCTGGAGGGAGTGTTTAGAAGATCCCAAGCCTGGAAGAGGAGATCATTCCAGTGCCTCCAGGATAGAACCAGTGCTGATCTGAAATTTAACACATTTACTTGTTTGCACAAATATGCATATCCAGATGGGAAGAATTTCCCCCCATACACATTGATTGAAAAAAGACACTTAACACTCTATCAAGACAAAGCACCGCTCATAACAGTGGAGTCAAGAGTCTCCAAGAATTTATTGTAGTTTGATAATAGGTCTGAAATAGTTTGCTTTAAAATATTTTGGATATAGTGCACTGTAGAAAAGCAGTAAGCAAATAAATAAATATGCCCAGGACTTGAACATTTCCCCCTTGGAAAATGTTGTCAGCTTTTTATTGCAAAACGGAAGTTTACAGGGAAAGATATATAATGAAACCAGAAGTACATAGTTTTAGCTCATCTCATCCCAGTTGCCCCAAAAGTCCCTTGGTCTGTTATGCATACTGTCAGCAAATTAGCACATGCTGTACATGGGTGCTACATAGCTTGTACAAATGGTAAGTTCATTAGAGTTCAAGAAATTCCAGTATGTGAACTTTTGAATGTCAACAGCAGACTCTACCCAGATGGCTGCAGGAGTTTGGTTACTATATTCTTAATGCCCGTTTCTTCTTTGTTCTCCTTTTAAACAAACCAAGTTTTCCAAATTCTTGGTGGCAACACAAGCATTACTGCTGTGCTGAACAAGGTGCATTCTCCTTGTAAGTGCATCAAGGTGAGTGGAGCACACAGAAGACAATTCTCCCCAACTTTGGGATAGCAGTAGACATTTGGGATAGCAGTAAACATTTCATCCCAAACAGGGCTTTGGTCCTGGCCATCTACGTGCATGAACCAGCCTCCATCTACACTGGATGCTCACTAGCCCACCCACATTCCTTTACTGCTGCTCGCTGCTCCACAGATGCCACGAGGACCATCATTTGGTCTCTTGGTGCCACTAGAAAATGCAGCACAGCTCTGTCCAGCAAGCTAGATAGGAAAAGGGAGGTGGGCTGTGTGAGGAGCCTCTTGTTTTCATGTGGAACTTGCTAGAAATAAAACTCACATATTTGTTGGTTACACTTGTATCCCACCCTCAGGGGCATTTGGAGGAACATATTATCCAACAACTTTGTGAGGTAGATTAATATATGAGAGCCAGTTCTTATATGGACTGAGCCCTTAGCTGTGATCGGGCAGCAGCATGTCCACCCAGAAACAAGAGGTTGACGCAAAGACTAGAATCCATACACTTCCTCACTCAAGTCTTCTTTGCCTTCGGTCTGATGGGGTCTGCATTTACACCTCCTGCTTCCCAAATGGTTTCTGTGGCTTTTTGTCAAGACAGTGTTTTTTTTTCTGAAGGGGTCTTGAATCCTTGTTGCAGGAGGCCTATCAGTGCTCTCTGCAAGCCTCCAGCCCTGGGAGGTATGTGGTTGTCTGTGTTATGTGTCTTCTTTTTCCTTTGTGTGTACTGCTTTTGAGAGAATGAGGGGGTTCAAAACCCAGCCTGGAGGTCTGAAGGTTTTGTTTTGTTTCACAGTCAAGCACTGTATAAATTTTATGAAATAAATACTGGCAGTACTAGAGCTTTGCCACTGGGGCTGGTTTTCGGCATTTGGGAACCAAGGCGTTTGAGAACCAAGGTACCACACTGTACTGTATGTGGTCTTTTTCTATGCTGGGGAAAGAGGGAAGTTTTGGAACTCTCAAGGTCACCTTTTAAAGGTCTAACAAGCCTGTATTTCCACACTTTACTTTGCTGCTTATTTTGTGATTTTAAATCTCTGCTGGGGTTCTCTCATCAAAGAGAACTTACCCCAAACTTGGATCTTGGCATCCACAAGTACTCCTTTTTATACCCTTTTTTCCCCTTGCACCAACAATCAGAAGGGCAACACCCTTTTGTTTTTTCCTGCTCAGGTAGTACACTGTTCTGTTCAGCTTGTTTTGTAAACTTTACCAGGATTTTCTCTCTGGACTCCGCCTGCCGTATTCAGCAGCAATGGACTCTTCCGGTGCCCACGAGTACAGCCTGAAGGGACTGTTGCTGCTCAGTTTGCTTAAGCATAAAGAGAGGCGATATGTAAGGCAGTGCATGCTAAGAGCAGTGGTTCCGTCCCTAGCTTAAGCCAATATTTGCCTAAAGCCTAATGGTGATTTATACGGGAGTTATGTTGCAACACCTCCCATGTTACTCATTTGGATTCTCAGATATCTGGTTAATAAATGCCAGGCCGCATCTGTAAGTTCATCAGGTTCACAATATTATCAAAGTGCAATGGTGAGAAGTGCAATGGTTAGAATACCACAATTTGTTTATATCTGTATTTTGTAGGATTGTCTTCATAATTTTTATACTTGATTTCCTTACTCCATAAGCTGATATTATCTGTTTTTAGGTAGATAAATATTATCCATTTTTAGGCTTAATTAATGCGGTAGAAAGCAAGTGTGGTCGCCCCATACACACTAGTTCTTCTAATTGTAAATACTGTAAACAAGTCACAAGGTAACAAGTGAGAAGGAGCTGAGGAAAGTCACGTCGTCGTGTGAATCGTTCATCAGAGAGAAGATCTGAGAGCAAGCTTACCTTGGGGTTCTGTTCTGATAAAGATTAGGGGGATGTAGAGTGTTTTCGTTGTTGCTGAAGCAATAAATTACCAAGACAGTCTTTTTTTTGCCTAGTCATGTTTTTCAGTACCAAGTCCCAACAATGACATTTTACTACACAGCAAAATGCAAGCAAATAAGAACCGAACTATTACGGTAAATTACAAATTGCCCTGGTAAAGTGCAATCTCATTAATGGAATTGGCCTGGGGAAATCCAAAATGTAAGGTTCCATTGGCATAGGTTTATGGAGGTAATGCAGGGAGATATAAAGAAAGAAGTTAGGATAATCAAAATTTGTTCAAAGATTGTTATAGTTAATGGGAGAGGACTTCAGATATAATACCTGAATTGTATCCTACACATTTGTTCTAATTAGCCCAATGTAAAAACACATGCCTGATTCTTTGTTAGAAGTTTAGCAATTAGTGACTCTATATTGCAGCTTCTCCTATGCCTTTAATTGTGTAGGCACAGCACAGCAATACCACCCTGGATTGCCATGACCCCCTTAAGCCTTTTGCAACTTAGTGACCTCTACACGTAGCAAACTGCTCTTACAATAATCTCACTGTCTATTGAAGGTGTTTCCCAACCCCTGTCTTAAACTGGTTTTCCCCCTAGCCTGTGATTAGGAATGAACCAAGTAGACTGGCTGACACAGAAGCTGGTCCAAATATTTGCTCATAGAAGTTCTTATGCCTCTAGGTGCAAGATAAGCTTGGTCCTCATAAAACTGAACAAATACAAATACTTCTGAGTCAGAATTACTGCACGCACCTTTTTATCAAACACGCCAAGCAGAGGGAGCAATTGACTATACCAACCATTTTGTCTTTGAAGAGCAAACCTGTTATTCGAGCAAACTATTAAAATTGATTTACTCCGACTAGTATAAACAGTTGAAGTGATATCCCTCATTATGGTGATGATGATGATTTCAATTTGTCAGTCACCAAAAACACTGCAGTCCCTAGCCAACTGACAACACAACCTGCAGTTCTTCAGCATCATAAAGTACCACCAAATCCTTCATAAAGTTATACTGTACTAAAAACAACATAGCACCTCAAAGCAGATGAGCTCATCCTAGCTCATCCTGTCCCATCAAATGCCTGGGAAAAGAGAAAGGTGATTAACCTTGTGCTAGAGAGATGTTAATGTAGGCTCCAGGTAGGCCTCATTGGGGGCAGCATTCCATATATGTTCAGGAAGTGTGTGAGGATGTTTCCATCTACCATATCCACAGGAACAGCTAGACCCAGCTAGCAGTGGATTGAGGTAGTACTTTAAATCCAGCCCTGTACATTGAACGGTTTCATCTCAAGGACTTTTCTAAATGGGACTCTGGCTCCATGGGTTGCTTCCACCCTGGGGTGCAGGGGAGAGGGCCTAGGCACACTTACCTTGTTGGAATCCTTATGCAACAGGCCAGCATATGACCTGAAGGGTTATATGCTTCCCTAATATACAGCAATACATTAGATCATACAGTAGGGGATACTGGAGGCCTCCAAATCGTATGGGAACCAGAAATTGACCACTCAACTGAAGAACGCAAATGAGAGGGTATGTGGACTATTCCCCACCCCTAAAACCATCTCTGCCCACTTACAGAAGACCTTGCTGAACGTAATCTTGCACTGCCACTGGACTTGTCGGACTTGCTAAAATCAATCCCTCCCTCTCCCCTTTATGTTGGAAGGGTTGTGGAAAACTTGGTTCAATTGTTCATGTTTGGTGGGAATGCCCCGATGCTTTTTTAAAAATCATATCCATAATTACAAACCAACCTCTCTCCAAATCCTGCCTTAGCCCTACTAACACTAGACATAGACTTTGGCTCCAGCTTGCAGTACAGAGAACAAGTAGGCTTTTTACTGATTGCAGCACGACTAGCAACAGCACAACAGTAGAAAAACCAGTCTGAAATAGCCTTGAACATAGGGGAAATAATATCTGGATACCGCAGAGGTATGTCTGAGGTTCTCACTACACTACAGAGATAGATTTAGGGCAGTGTGACTAGTTCCACAACACTGGGTGCCAAGCCTAGGGGGCGCTGTGGAGCACTGCAACTATGACATAGTGAATTGAGCAGAAATGAAGGCAAGGGTGGGGGCTGAATTTTGGCCTTGCGCAGGATGCTGCTGAAATGTGAAAGACGAAAGTTCTTCCCTAGTCACTCTACATAGGAGAGTGATCAAATGCATGACCAAAAGAGACACCTTTCAGGAAACCCGAACCCTTTTCTTGAACCATGTTAACGAGCAAAATCAAGACTTTGTTGTACCAAGTGCTCAGTCTTCACAGTGGAGAGATTATATTAGTTAATGTGTTTGACTACTGAATGTGTGAGATTATGTTTAAAGTCAGAGAATAGAACAGACATCATTAGATGTACTGCTGGGTAAATGTTTAACTCTTCTTGTTTTTGTATCTATTTAAAAACCAATACAAACTTGTTTTTTTAAAAAAGGTCATCAAGATCACTTCCGAATGACCTGTTTATTGAAAATTTATCCTGGCTTGCTTGCACAAAGTTTGCAGGGGGAGGTATGCAGCACCTGCTAGTTACTGAGCATTCATTCTGATTTGTTTGGCGGTTATCCACCGTCATGTCAGACAACTGTTATTGCCACAGTTTCCAGGGCATTTTCCTGACCCTTTCATTTTTGGAAGTGGGTTTGTTGTGCAAGAGGGCAAAATCCACTTTGATTGTGCCATCTGAATTTGTTGGTATGTTCACAGGTTTTGGAACTGGAGACTAACTACATCCACCTCAGTTATGCAGTGATGTACTTCTTGGTCAACATAAGAACCTAAGAGCTCTTCTGGATCAAATGAAAGGCCTACCTAAGGACTAGCCAATGTGGTCTCTTCACACGTGAACCACAACTCCTATTATCCCTGAGCATAGTCAATGTGGGCTGGAGCTGATGGTAGTTGTAGTCCACAGCATCTGGAAGGCACCATATTGGGTTATCTATTTCAGCAGCCCGTTTTCCACAGTAGTTGTAATTTTTTCCTTGATTTCCTTGTTTTATCTTATTGTAGACTGCTTTGAGGTTTTTTACAATCGCACGATGTATGAGTTTTATGAAACAACCAAAATTGGGGAACCACTTATATCTGATGCAATAGCAAAATTGCAAAATTTGCTGTAATAGCAAATTTGAGTATAAACAGCAAGTCCCAATCTTGGAACAATTCAAGTTTCTTTGCACTAGGACTTACCTGTTGATGAGAACAAGCAATAGTCTGTCTGCCGCTTGCTGTTACCAAGGAATAAAATGCCTGCTGTGTTTCTTGTGTTTTCTTCAAGGTTCAGGAGCTTTCACTTTGGCAAAGAATAAAGAAAAACAGAGGGAACACGTCGTATCAAATCAACCAGATGTTTTACCCAGCAAAACATAATGATCCATTAAATTTCAGCTAGGAATGGGGAGAGCTGTAATATTCAGTTGCTAATGGGACTGTCCATAAATTATATTAATTGCACTTTTAGAAACCTTTCAGAGCACCTTTTGCCCTTGCTGCCATTTTTCAGTGTAGTACAGACCCATCAGAAAGTAAGCCACAGGTATCACTACACCCCTACCAGCAAAATATTTTATGCCTGCCATGATGGAATATATTATCTTTATTTTTTTGTGTCAAACATAGAAAGTAATGAATAACACTTTTTTATTTTCTAAACTACTCCTTGAAAGAGTAGGCCCAAATTAGCCACCATGGGAGAGGTCTTCCCAGGGATGTCTAATGAAGATGCATATTGTGACTTCCTCATGCCAAGCACATCACCAGCACACTTCACTGACCACTACTTCTGGGAGCAAGGGAAACACTGAGCAGTGCAACATCAAACCACATATCATCTTTCCTTAGGTGTTATGAGGGAGATGTGTGTGGCAGCCATATGCTACCTCACAGTTCAGCTTCAGGCTATGAAAGGCGGTGTGTGTATGTGTGTGTGTGTGTGTGTGTGTGTGTGTAGCAGGAAGCTGAGGGAAGCCTTGGAATAGGGAGAAGCAAAAAGGGCCCAAGGGACACTGGAGCATCTGCTTTGAGTGCAGAAGATCTCTGTTTCAGTCCCCAGCATCCTCAGACAGAACTGGGAATGTCCCCTTTTGAAACCCTTGCTGCCAGTTCGTGCAGACATCACTGAGCTTAATGGACCAATGGTCTGAGTCATCATAAAACAGCTTTCACACTTTTCACTGAGTGTTTCACTACTGAACAAAGTTCCATTATGCCGGAGATGGGTTCCCCTGCCCCCCCACCTTCTCCTTGCACTTGAATTCTGCTCAAAGAAAACCCAGTATTTGCATTAAAAGCAAACTGACCACATGGAGTCATGCTTTATGTAAATGATATTTGGGGCCTTTGAAGAGTTTTGAAATTGGTGGGTACATAGGGACACAGTCATTTCCTTTCTGCTGTGTCTGTTGGTTTGATGTCTCTGCTCTGTGCTCGCTGTGCTTTCTTATATTATGATGTCATTGTTTGAAGATGTAATCTCAGCTGTCATTGTAAGCCATCTTGGAAGCCTTTTTGGCTGGAAGGCTGGGTGTGTTTTCAACCAACCAAAATTCTTTCAGCACTACCAGAATCCAGCAACGCTGCTGAATCTGAACAGTGTTCACCTATGGAACATTCCTAGCATGTATCAGCAGTTCCATTGTGGTTTGTACATTTTGACCTTTCACCTTAAAAACAACCCTAGCAAATTTAGCATCCATAGTAACAGGAAGTTAATTTGTTCATACTCCAGTGAGCTGGCAAAGAACATCTGAGGCAATAAGAAAACTGCTTCAATTCCAAGTCAGTAAGTCCATGAAGTTGATGGAAACCAATATGCTGTAACATATATTGAGTCACTTCTTACATAATCATAGTCAGTGTTGCCAGGGAACAGAGTTTAGTTTTCTGGGATTGGTGCCATCTAAGCCTTTTATCTCATGACTTGCTGTACCTGGGACAGGTGTAGCCCTTTGCTCCCTGCACTGTTATCTGAAATCCACACTAAAGAGCCATGCTATACTTTTGGAAAATAATGGCATCATTCTACAAACCTCTAAATATCTATCTATCTATCTGAACTCAGTGGAGAAATTCTATGTAGCATAAAGATTATCCATTTGACCCAGCCTGCTTCCTCCAATGACAGCAGATCCTGACATTTTAAATCATACTTCGTACTTTTCTGCAGGAAACAAATAATGTGTGAAGCAGCTTCTGGGCCTTAAAGAAGAAATAGAAGGAGAGCACAGATTCTGGTTCCAGCAGACCATTACTGAGACACGCTAGATTAAAATATTGTACAGTATTTTAAGAAAGAACCTCCGCCCCAAAACTAGTCAGACCTCTTGAGCAAACATACATCATAGTTATTACTCCAGGAAGCCCATCCTTCTTCTGTTAGTTGAGCAACAACAAACCTTTTGTTATGTGGACAAGGAAAGAGGATTGCATCCTAGATGACATAGATACAGGAGGGTGAGGGATCCTGATTTTGGGGATTATTGTTTTCATTTAGCTCTTATGTGGATGAATTAAAAGGGGGAGGGGGCATTGTTTTAGGCTGAATGCAGAAGCAGCACAGACTCAAGATTTGAAGAGCTTTTTGTGATTTGTGGGTTTGAAATGTCACTTCTTTGCTTATTCCTTTATGACAAAAGAGGCTCTTTCACAACCTGCAAAGCTGACACACTGGTATGTGGCATCACATGATTATGATGTCACCACGCCAAGAAATTGCCCGTTCTAGGGAGAATCAAAATGAATCCCAACCTGAGCGGATTCTTTTATTGCAGAAGGGAGTGGACTTAAGGATAATAAACAAAACCATCCATTTCTCCTAATCACTGATGTCACATTACGTTCAATTCATTACACTATGAGTCAGCACTTGGGACTTTTTTTCAGCCGTTAACTTTCCAGATGCTAAAGTGAGCGGCAACCTTCCCCCTCCCCGTTTCCCCTAAATTGTTGGTGCGTAGCACTCAAGCGTCCAAAATGAAATGCTTCAGTTTTGCACTGCTGCCGACTACTTGGCACTCGGAGCGGTGGCACCGCCGTCGCCTTCAAAGGAGACTTTGTTGCCGCCAAGCTCGCGACAAACAATGCCGCAAAGATTAAATACCGAACGGAATGCGGCAGAATTGCGTCGTCTTTGCAGCCCCGGCGGCGATGTTGATACCCTGAACCACATCGAGGAGGGGAAGGGGAAGGGAAGCCTACTCTGTCTTCTTGCGTTTCCTCCAATGGTGCAGTGCATTTTCATACCCATCCCACCTGCCTCCGCTTCCGATTACTTTTATTTAGGTTTAGTTTGAGATGTGAATCCTGAATAAAATCACCCCTAGTCCACGTGCCCGGGGAATGGGAGGAGGCTGGCTGAATGGATCAAGAAAAGAAAATGGAGTCCACAATACAAACAAGGGAGTGGAAATAAAGAAGTGCGGTGTGTGCGAGGGGGAATACACAACTGGCGGCGAGAGAGGGAGCGTGCAGAGAACCGCTGGAAGATGGAAAGCAGAGGAAGAGCTGCAGGCTGGGCTCGCGGGGTGGGTGGGTGGGGGAGGGAGGGAGGGAGTCTGGGCACAGCCGCCACTCCTTTTGTGCGCGCCGAGAGGGGCAGGAGGGAGGAAGCGGGGAGAGCAGCCGCCACCGCCGCTTGCCGCCACCTTGCTCCCTCCTTCCCCTCCCCCACAACCCCAAGGTTCTCTCCTCTGCATTTCAGCCTATGCGTATCGCAGGGATACGCGCGAGAGCCTAGGCAGCGCCGGATAACCAGAGCAACGGGGAAGGCAGCCAATGGACTTCCCGCGCCGCGTCTTCCCTCTGGACCAATCAGGGAGAGGCGCGGCCGCAACCTTGCGGTTGGCTCGGGCACGCAGCCAATCAATAGAGACGAAGAGAGAGGGACGGCGGGGGGGGTTGGTGGTGCGGATGCGAGCGGGTGGGAGGGGGCGAGGCTGATGAGCGCGAGGTGAACGCGCGCACGAGGTCCGCGTGCGAGCGGCTATAAGAAGCCTCGCGAGCGCCGCGCGCCGCATACCGTCTGCGGGGCTCGAAGGCTGGAGGTGCGCAGCGAGCCTTTTCCTGTGTGTGCGTGTGGCGCTGCCGTTGTTCCTTCTGCCTCCCGAGCTCGCTCTCCTCTCGCTCGTCGGCCATGAAGACCAAGTTCTGTAACGGCGGCGAGGCCGACCCTTCCCCGCTGGGGCTCCTGCTGGGGTGCGCCCAGGGCCCGGTCTTGCCCGCCCTCACCCAGTCTCCCTCGTCGCCGCCGCTGCCGCCTTCCTCTCACGCCGAGGCCGAAGCCAAGCAGCAGCCCCTCGCCTTGCCGCCGACGCCGCCGACCCCTCCCTCCCCGCCGGTGGAGGAGCAGCCCGACCCCCGCACCCGCCGCAAGGCGTATTTTTGGTGCAGGGAGTTCCTGCGGGGGGCGTGGCGGGGGTTGCGGGAAGATCAGCTGCGCATCACGCCCATCAGGTCAGCCACATACGGGTGGGGGTGGTGGGGTGGGGGAACATCAAGGGATCAGCCTTCTAGGGTGAATGAGATTAAGAGCTGTGTGTCTCTGAGCGTGTACAGAGTGTCTTCTCGTCGCCACGAAGCAACCACATCTGGCATCAGGTTTCCAAGAGAGGGTTGTTCCATGACGATGCGGCCCCTTCAAACCTGAAATGAGGGGAAGGGGTGGGGCTGTCGCCTCTTGTCGGACCTGGCACCTTTTGTCTCCCCACAGTCTTACTGATAACGACGTTATGGAGAGGAGTCATTAAGGCTTCATATCGGATCTATACGCACTGAAATGTTACAGGGAAATCATTGTCCATATGGTGGTACTGTCGTTTTCTACCAAGGGCACGCCACTGACCTCCCAAGAGTAATGGAAGGGCAGAAGGAGACCTATGTTTTGGGGAGATGGCAGCTTCACTGCTGCCAAGGACCTGTCGGTGCCTATCTGTATCTAGAGATGTTTCTGTATATTGCAAACATGGTGTTGCCTTCTGTGTGAGAACATTTGAAGGTATCTCAATAGATAAATTAGTTAGATGAATGATTGACTCATTCCTGATACCTTCCTAGGCCATTGTTTGCACTAACCATGGTTTAGAATCCTAACAATAGTTCTGGCTTAAAAATGTATAGGAATATTGTAGTCTAGAGTTGCTTGACTGCTTGTGTTTCTCTTTTGCACTCCTATGGAGATAGAGCAGTGGCCCCAACTGTGAATTCAGACATCGCAACCATATACAGTTGGCAAAGCTTTTGGTTAACAAGCCCATTTTAAGACAGTTTGTTTCCTTTCCCCCCAGTTTACTGGATAATTTATGAACTGAACCCCACAGTTCATCTTCTTTAACCATAGTTAGTGAATTGTGCCATTATCTGCTCTTCAGAACCTTTGACACAAATGGGATAAGAATAGAAAGTAATGTGTGGACGTCCATTAACTTTTGGGAGCACATCTTTTATCTCTGTAGTATAGTATAAGACAGATTTTTTGACCACAAGCAAGAGTAGGGTGTGCATACATCTTTCAAGCTATCCCACAGTGATAAAGATGTTGTCTCTGTTAAGCCTTGAGCTGTTTTGTTGAACTCAGAAGTTACTTTCATCTAGGACAGAGTTTCCCAATCTTTGGTCTCCAGCTGCTGCTGAACTACAACTCCCATCACCTCTAGCCAGCAGGAGCAGTGGTCAGGGATGATGGGGATTGTAGTCCAAAAACATCTGGAAGCTCAAGTTTGTGAAACCCTGATCTAGGAAATTAAATGAATTCCACTACATGTGTGGCTAAATAGATATGTACGTTTGTGCCAAAAATGTGTTGCACTTCACAAGTTTGATTTATTCAGTTTACTATTTTGAATTGATTTCTATACAGGAATTGCTTGTGTTCTACTATTTGAGCTGATGATATTCCTGGAGGTTTTTGTTTGCTTACATTAGCCCATAGTCCAAAAGGAAAATCCATTTTTAAAAAACTCTTTAAATACACTAAGTTGACTTTACTGATTGTCTAGTAGCCGTTAAATGGGAATGTACCATTCAAAAAAGCTTCAGAGGTGATGAAAAGTTTAAGGCAATATTTTAAAAATGTGAGTCAAACTTAACTTGTAAGATGGTTTCTGAACAATGAAATGTGTATTCTACCCTGTGATTTTTTTTGAATGAGACTGCTCAGCAGTATGAGTCATTTTTTGGCAACAAGTTACTGTAGTATCAGGTGCCTTGCTCTGACTCTCAATGCCAGCAATGAGTAGATAACTGGCTTGGGTATAGTATGGGTAAGTAATCAGGAATGGAATTTTTTTTAGATTTTGTATAATTGCCTCTGAAGAAAAGAAGTAAAACAAAAACCTTTTCTAATCACTTTAATTTTCCTAGAATGCCCAACAGTTAATACTCATACCAGATACGTCAGAGAGGGATTTATTGCCTCATAATTTTTTTATTTAAAATGCTTTGTTTAAAATATTTGTCCTGTCCTTTATCCCAGATCCATGGACAAGTAATATTAATTTTGAAAAACTAAAACAAATCCATTGGAATACATATACATATAACATTTCCCCATTTAACATGTTTAGAATTTTAATAGTTAATCTGAACTCTAAAAGCCATAGTTGCAGAATGTTCACAAGTAGCTGGACTACTTGTATATTTTAAGGGCATTTGGCAGAATCACACTGGTGTGTAAAAGAGGTCATAATGTAACCCAAGAGGTCACAATATAATAGTGTTGAACATTATTACAGCCCAATTCTAAATACTGTATGTTGACTTAGAAATATGGAATATTACTGAACTTAGTGGAACTTAAATTTCCTTTTAAGTATGCTTAGGAATGTAGCTTTAATATCTCTATAGTTTATTTAAAATAGACACTTTCTTAAACACACAACTGTTTGCAACTTTTAGCATGCAGTTCCTGCTGTTGAACGTTAATAATCTTTGCAGCATTGTATGTATTCTTGGAGCTGGCCATTTATAAAACTCATCTGAATCCCTATTTTGTATAAACATTACTTTAGTGTACATCCAATACATGCCTACTCAGAAGTAAGTCCAAATGAATTTAATGTGATTTCCTCCTAGGGAAATGTGTATAGGATTGCAGCCTGAATATGTTCTAGGAACAATCAGGAATTGTGATTAAATTTGCTTCAAATATACTAAAACTATCCAAATAACCCATTTTTAGTTAACTTTGAGAAGTGGTCTTGTTCTATCAAAACATGGATGAAAAAGATGGGTGCATACTGCTCCCCAGCTTCTAGGATATTTTTACTTTTCTATGGGTTATATACTGTATAAATACATAAGAATACAATTCTTTTAGATACTGATATAGGTGTATTTAAAATAATCTGGGACTGCTGCCTATCTGTTGAGCCATGATCTTCAGCATCGGCAGTGCTTTGTTTCTGAGCAAGTCTGCTTAAGCTGCAACTGAGAATAGACCCACACGGTTTTCCCCCTTCAGTATCTCTTCCATCTCACATGCCCTGCAATAAAGACTTTACTCTTGCAAAAAACAACACCCCCAAAACACCTGGGAATAGTTCCTTGCTACTTATCTTTGTGTGGAGCCTCATACCGGAGTGGGGGAAAACCCTTCACTTCTGGAGCAGCCTTTGCCAATTCTAGCTTGGTCTGATGGGAGTTGTAGTTGAAAATATCGGGAGGGCAACAGCTTGTTGAAGGCTGTTCTGGAGTACCCAAGTCTTGGGGGTTGTAAACTTTATGGGGCCTTTAGGCACATTTGAAAACCAGAGAAGCAGTTGTTAGATCTATCTAACAATAGATCCTTCTTTCAACCCTAATTTTAGCAGTTGCGGGGGGAGGACCTTGTGTGTGCCAGGGAAGGCTTATGTGGCTGCATACGCAGGTGCAAGTGCCGCACTGAAGACCCTTCACATCCTCCAAATGTTTAAAATGTGGGCATGACTAAACACAAATTTAGGCTTCTCCTATAAGGTTTTGTTTAAGAGGTGCTAAAGCATTGTTTTTCTGCTACTGTAAACTTTCACTTGTACCTGAAGAATAAAGAAGTGTGTGTTGTGGAGGGAGGTGCTTAATTTCGCCTACCTGTTTTTCTGGTACTATAGGTTTGTTAGGGTAAACACAGAAAACTGTTGAAAGAGTGGGTGCACATACCTGTTTTCTGGTCCGAACCTTCCCCTGCTCAAGCTGCTTTTCTCTCACAGAAAGAGATGTCAGGTTTTTCAATATAGCATGCAGTTTATCCTTAAAGTGCTGGTCGAAAGTTTTTACTTTCTGCTGCTTTGTCATCTTTTTCTGGTATATAGCTTGAGTATTCTCCGTGTAGGTTCTTAGTGATAGCAAATCAAGGGCTTTTCTTTGCAATTGAAGAAAAAGTGCCCCAGCTGCACTTCAGTATTGGGTTTCTTGTAAAAGATTAGGAGTGGGGAATAACTCCAAAGATAGTCATAGGGTAGTAGAAAGATGGGCTAACTTGGCAGAGAGTAGTTTCTGGTACTGTACTCCTTTCTGTTGTAGTATCTTTGTGCAATTTGATGCTCTGGACACAGATCGAGAGTAGCTTTTTGTGGTTTAATTATTAAATTGGACTATTCTGCCTCTAGGAAAAATAATCCAAACTAGCAAATGCTGCCTATCTCAAATGTTTGTTCATTTAATACATATTTCTTCATTTAGCTTCATAAACCAGTTATGATGGTGTGCTTTTCCTCCTGAATGGAAGTGCACAACAGGGCTTGCTTTCAGATTTAGAGCTGCTACTACTTCAGCAGCACAAGCAACTGTAAGGTTCCTTGGTTTCAACTGGTGCTTTATTAAAACGAATAAGGCAGCAGATGCTTTGCATAGGCACATTCTTGCTGAAGGTTCCCCTCCCCCAACAAATAGATGTGTTGGCAGCCCAGTCCATTTATGAAATAAATGAGTAGCAAATTGCATCAATATGAATTGGTTTAGGTTTCTTCTAGTACTTGAGAACTTCAGCCAGGAAATTCCCCCCTTTTAGACTTGCTTAGAAGTAAGGCTACATCATCATCAGCTGGTCTGTTGGGGATTGCAAGCTAGAGTTCTTTCTCTTTCTTCTTCAGGAAGAAGTGGAACTGCCTGCCACAGTTCCCACAGGGCAGCCCTGTTCAACACACAGGCAGCATTGCTGAAGTTGTGTGTGAGAGGAGCCTTGTTAGCAATACATTGTGTAGAGGAGCACATCACTAATGTGCCCCTCAGATGAGGGATGGTCCTGCCTGCCTCTTAAATAAGAAGCGGGTGGTGTCAAAGCTATGTGCAGAACTATCTGCATTCTTCTGTTTACTAATCTCTCTTAAATTTAGAAAGAATGAATGCTAAGCAGGGGGCATCACAGGAAGCTGCTTTTATATCAAGTTGGACCATTGGCCCATCTAATTCCATATTGTCAGCACTGTCTGGCAGTGATGCTCTAGTCTAGGGGGTTTAAAGCAGGTTCTTTTCCCTTCCTGGAAATGCCAGGGATTGAATATTGAGATCTCATCTTGTAAAGCAGGCACTGAGCTGCAACCCTTCCTCTTACACAGAGCAGATACCCTAGTGCAGGGGTCTGCAACCCGCGGCTCCGGAGCCGCATGTGGCTCTTTTACACCTTTGCCGCGGCTCCGGGGCGGATACTAGCGAGGGGAGGAGGCGCATTGTGCGACCCGACACTCCTCACTGTGGCGGGCGCTGTACTGGCTGTGACGTCGCATGGGGCGGTGCGTGCATTAGTCACGCACCGTCCCGACGTCACCTTCCTGCCCGCTGTCAGATCATGGCTCCGGAGATATATTTGTTTTAAATGTCGCAATGGTTTTGCGGCTCCCAGTTGTTTTTTCTTCGGAAACGGGTCCAAGTGGCTCTTTTTGTCTTAAAGGTTGCAGACCCCTGCCCTAGTGGAACATTCCTTTATAACTGCGTATCAAAGGAGTTGTGCCTTGAATTGCTTCACCCTTTGTAGTTTGTCATGACAATTGCACTTTGACAGTTGAAATTAATGTAGTAAAGCATAAGCTTCAAGAGGCATCACTTAAGAATAATATTTTATTTATATGGTGCCACCCCCCAATTTGGGAGAAAGGTGGGCTTATATGTACATGAAATGAACACATTATAGAATCAGTGCATGTTGGAGGCACCCGCAATAGTGTCCACGGCAAGGGCCTCAGATTCGAAGCTTTCTTTTAAAAAAGTCTCTAGCCCTCCTAGAAAGAAAGTAATGAAGCAAAGTGTGCAGCTATCATTCTAAGCAATTTCTGTGAAATGAGTCCGCCTACTCCCTGTCATTTTTTAGCCAATCAGTGAGTTGTCTGGACACAAGGCAGTAGGAGTCCCTGGGGTCCTAAATAATTACTATTTCCCCCTACACTTGGGTGCACCTTTCCTGCTTCTGTCTTATTTTCTAGTCCTTGAGTCCACCCATTTGCTGCTCTGCTTATTTTGTTTTGCTGCCTATCAGCTACATGGAGCAGGCAGCTCCTTCAGAGACTTTAAAAAAAGATGTGAGTTGAGGTAATGACCTAAATTAGTCATGGCCACTAATTTCAATTGGTCTACTCTGAGTAAAAGTTTATTACAACCCATAATAATTATAACATTTCCCCTGGTTGTTCCCAAGTTGCTGTTGTGGGGGGGCGGAGAGTGGACCCATGTAAGAAACATTATCTTCATCGCCTTTTCCTCTGCCTGGGATTGTTCTCAAATTGCTTGGGAAGTGGAGAGCATTATCTTCTCATCGTACAAAATATAAAAATTTTGAGAAGCTTGTAGGTGATATTCAGCCTCAAACGTTACACTAGTTTTGGCCAGTATTGCTCAACTACAACTCTGGTGATTTATTTAATTCCTTTTCTGTGTTTTTTTCCTTTTTCCCTTTTTTAATTCAATAAAGATAATATGCGTTTGTATTTCTAACTATGTCTCTGTATGGCTGACTGTAGCAATTGAAAATTATTCCTGGATTCAGTTATATTTTATTTTCTAGCTCTAATGTATAGCAACACGCAGCATAACAACCAAGACTTAAAATTGTGTGGAAAAGGAAGTTTTTCAAACATTTTTTGTTTACCAAAAAAATTTGAATGGATTTTTCCTAATTGGAACAAGTTTTGTTCCTGTGCGTCTCCTTTTTCTGCTCTTTTGGAGATGGTAGTCATTTTGTATTAGGCCACACCTCTGGTAGCAGCCATTTTGTGACTTTGCCCTTGGTATTGCCCTTATGTAGATTGTCAGTTAGGAATAAAGACTAAGGGGTTAAGCTGAACCAATGGCAGAATATCTTAAAGTACCAAATTAACTCCATTACAGCACTCATTGGTCATATACGCACCCCAGCCGTCTATAACTATATTCTATCTTCTGAGCTTTCAGAAATGTCCATGAAGTTCCACCATAGCACAGCAGTTTTCATTTTTCATACTCCTGCTGTAAATGTCTTTGGTTTTACAATAACTGGATGGATTAGGCTAGCTTTTTGAACTTAAAACATAGAATTAGTTCTTAATAAGGATATGTTTTATTGCTCTCCTAGATGATGATATGTGAAATTTTAAGAGCACACTAGAGGCTTTTAATGAGGTGGGAGGTAGTTTCTCTTGCATTCTCTGCACTACAGTCAAGCTGCTTGCAACTTCTCCTTCAGCACCTTGTTGCTAGGACCTCAAATGCTGCTGTGCGCCACATTTGCACTGCGAGGAAGAATGTGCTATGCCACTTTGTTCCAAGAGGTAGTCATTCCAGCTTTTCTTCACCTCCACCTGTTCTCAGAGTAGAATACATCCTGGACTGAACAGGGCCCAACACCCAGATGACTTCACCAGTCCAAAAACTCATTTCGGAATGGGGTGGAGTGGGTGGGTGAGGAGAGAGGCAATGCATCATTAATGCATTGCACCCCTTCTCATCTTTCCAAAACCAGTCAGTAAGGTAGGAGCCATGCCCAACCCAATAACTGTTTTAAGGAAGCAGATAAAATAGATGTTCCCTCAAGGCTGATGTGAATATCAATCGTCATTATAGGGAAAAATGTGGACTGCTTAACTTTACTGAGAAGGACTAATTGTGGTCAGCCCATTCACTATACCTCAGTATTGTATACCTCATGGTGTTGTTGTGATAAAATCAGATAACTCAATGTATGGTGCCTTGAGTGAATGTCTTAGAAGTGCAGGATATATGAAAATATACTTTATAAGCTCAGCACTCATATACGGTAGCATTTTATCATTATAGAGAACTCATTGTTATAAATAATCTAACATGCTTTGCCTCTAGTCACATATTATGGTCCTTACCATTGTCCAAAATTATTTATTAGCTGTTCTACCTTAAACAGTGGCTTTGGAGACATAAATGCAAAGTACTAGTAAACATAAATTTCTTCCTAATTCTTCTAACTTATATTTAAATACAGATTTGGGAATGAAATTCAAGCTATGTATTAATAAAGTTCGTGTTAGGAGTAGAACCTGGAAGACCAGGGTTTACATCCGTACTCTGCCATGAAGTAACTCTACCTCAGAGGGTTGTTGTGTAGATAAAATGGGGAGTGGGAGAAGCATGGAGGAAATGTGGAATATAAATGTAGACATAATATAGTCAGTGCTGAAAAAATAGAAAGTTAGGCTGTGTAGAATAGCTCTTTCATGTCCAGTTGTCTAATTCAGGGTATTGGAATCTGAACTTCAGTCATGTGAGAAGTGCAAGTGTTCATATGTGTAACTCATAATACTTTCCTTCTTAGGGGAGGCCTCAGCAACATGCTGTTCCAGTGCTCATTACCTGATACCATGGAGACTGTTGCAGATGAACCACGCACAGTTCTTCTTCGCTTATATGGTGCCATTCTACAAATGGTGAGTATTTGGTGTGGGGGAGTGGGCTGATGTTTAAACATCTTGCATTAGAATAGGCTTGAAAATAGATTTTATTGCACATGCATAGTCTGATTTGAGAACTCTTCAGTTTAGATTTGTTCATTTCTTATTGCCTAGAAATTGCTTTCTACGCAGATCTCAGATGTATAGGTTTTTTTAGTTAGTGTGATGCACTGTCTTGTCAGTATGCATGCGGACGTTTCCTGGAGTTTTACTATTCAGAAAAATTGTCACTTACTACCCTCTTTGTGCTTTGCAGACTTAAACTGAGAAACAACATTCATGGTAAATCTGATAACTGTCTAGAATTGCGTTGAATCATTAACTACAAGCATATAGCAGCTTCAAGTCTTTCCCCAAAATTCCTTCCAGGAAACATGTACCAAGCTTTTACTGTCAGTAATCTAACAGCATTTGGTTGAAGCACTTAATTTTCCCTTTTCCCATTTTGTTGCTTCCAAGTGCATTGCTCTGGATGCATGCAGATGGAAATTGGAAATTGAGGCCATGATCAATTCACTGGTGCCGTATCTATGGACAAAGGATTCTTGTAGATCCAATAGTGCTCCTGTTTATTTATGTCAGGGTTTTACGTTATGCTTCAGCCACATTTCCAGCATGATTCACAATATATATAAATGATAGGATAAAAATACAAAACCCAGAATTGTGATATGCATAGCTGCAACTAAAAGCAATTGAACTTAAAACATGGGAGAATACATGTCTGTGCTTGGTGCTGAAAAAAATAGCGATGTGTGCATCAGACAAGCCTCCCTGGAAAGGGAATTTTACATGCAACATCAAGTAGGCAGTTTCTTTAGTTGCCATCCACTTGTTTCTGATGATAAGGATGCCTGGAGGAGTACTTCCAGAGATGACCTCCAATAATGGACACGCTGACATGGAGGTGGGCCTTACTTCTGGTACCCAAGTCTTAAGCTAAGTAAGCCTTTAAAGGTAAGCATCAGCACTTTGAATTGTACTTGGAAATGGACTAGAAACCAGTATTCTTTAATTACCTGTGAGGATAGATCCCAGTTAATAGGAATATTTTGAGCCAGTTGCAGATTCCAAGCAATCTTCAAAGGCAGGCACACATACAGTTCATTACAATAGCTCAGGGATGGCAAATTAGATCTAGCCCGCTTGTCAGTGGGAATAATTGGGAGTCTAATCAAAGTGTGCCTCTGATTATTCCTTTCTAGCCCTGGCTGGACTGCAAAGAAACATTAATGCTTCAGTTGCAAAAATGGGAGGCTTGCTCAGCTTTCCCTAATGAAAATAGGTCTTCTGTTTGGCACCAAAAACAAGTCCAGCTTGGGGCAGGAGTTGAGTGTAGTTAGGAGCTCCCAAGTGGAATCAATCCCACAGAGCTTTTATTTTGCGCCAAATTTAAAAGGTGCTGAATGAAGGCCTTGCTTGAAGAGGAGATGTTAGGAGTGCACTATAACACTCCTGATTGTTGTTTCGCAGCTGTGGCTGTATCTGCTGTACACCTGACGTCACAGGATGTTGGTGGGTTGGAGTATTCCAAGCCATATTAGTTTTCCAAGCTAATCCTAGAGGTTACCAGGGTATGGTCATGCTATTCCTGTCTAGAATGAGACGGCAGCTGCCATAACAGTCTTAAGTAGATGAAAAACACTTTGTGTCGCAGAAGCTATCTGAGCCATGTGACATAAGTGGATCTAGGAGCACCTCTTGGACTTCTCTGTTGATCCTGTGGGAATCCTTCACACACAGGTACTGCACCAGCAGTGGACTGAATCATGCCACATATTTTTATGTAATGGTTGTGTTTAGCCACAGAATTTACACACAAAAATGCAAGTCTGTTTATTTCTTTTAGACATAGGATTCACTGTGGCATGTCTGACAAGAGTTGTAATGTGCCTCTGAGTAAGTTCCAGTGAGCAGGAAATGGCCTTAGGTCCTAGGTATAGATGTTGGTAGGTCTGTATTAAAACAATTTGTCCATGTAGACATTGACATACTCTTGAATTTCCATTTGTGAAATGAACCCACGTACAAGATTGTTGTCACTTCTGTGTTTTATACACAACACATTATCATTTAGAAAATGACCAAGCAATTTAGATTTAACGTATCTTGAATTGCTTTCTGACCAGCTATTTTGAATCTAGATTTATCAACAGAATGACAACAACTGTGCATTAAAGCAGTTAATGATGTAGTAATCTTGATAGAGAGTGTTGAACTCATTGGCAAAATGCAGGTAATCTATGACTAGTAAAAGGAAGATTTTCTCCTTGCACTTGCACTCTCCAAGGGTGGCAAAATGAGTTCTGCTGTAACACTAAACAGCTGATGCATTATGGATAAAGGGATAAAGAAAATGCATTCACATATACAAATGATTATAGCAGTGGGGTAGAGTTCCCACTCCTATGGAGCTTCCTCATTGTAAACATATGCTTAGCCCCCAAAGTATCTCCACTTGCTTGTACTCCATGTTATAAAACTGATATACAGGCAATTTCCATATATTGAAATGAAGTGTTCTGCATGCCTTCATATAACTGAGAACAATGAGATTACTGGGGCATCAGTTGGTGCTTGTAAGTATGAAGCTCGGATTGTGTATTGCAGTATACAGAATACTTGGATTGGAAATATGTAAGCAAGTTACTGCTGCAATGTCTTTCTCTGGTCCATCTTAGCAATGTATTACAAGGAAACACTGGCTTGAACCATTGGCACTAGAACTATCAATTAAACTAACAGTTCAGCGATAGTTACACTGAATGTTTTATTTTAACAAATTATTTAAGCCACACCCTTGGCTTTATAAAATCTTCAGTGTATGAGCTGATTGCATATTATAAGTAACCTTTATTTGTACAGGCTGCCTGTACAAAGTAGTTTGTAGAAATTAGGGCATCACTGATTTGCTAATGTTTTCGTCTGAAAAAAATAAGGCAGCGTTTTCAGGATCTCAATAGTAATTTCCATCATATCTGTTGTAATCATAGTACTCTGAAGAAATTTTCCTATGAATATCCAAGTTTGGAGAATCCTAAACCAGAACATGGGCACATACTGCTTTCCCTCAATACCCACTTTTTAAACAAAACCTTCTGTGTCCTTATATGAAGAAAATAGCACTGGAGCTCAGAATTTTTCTCCAAGATCTAGTTTGGCCAATTATTTGAGTGTTAATATCCTAACCTTTTTTGTCTTGGTATTTAAGATCTTTTGAGATTTCTAACTTCCTTTATTTCCATAGTGGCAGTGAAATGACTGCTCTTGTTGGTGCAGTTCACTAAGGGTTAAGTAAGCAGAGACAGTCCCAAGGTAAAACTTTCAGATTATATTGAGGGTTTCAGTATAAGCATTTGTCTTTTCCAGATCAGTATTCAATGCATAAGAAAACTGATTGTGCTATAGTTTTAGATCTTCATCTGAGATCTTAAGGAACTTCCTTGTACCAAACAGGAGTAATTTAGAAGAAAAATAATTTCAGTGATGCTGATATTTTTTAAAGTTCTGGGGATGCTGGTTTTAAATACTGATGCACATACGTATAATTTTCTTGCACTATTACTTACCCTCAATATCCATTTGTATGGCTTAAGACAGAAATATAGCTACCAACAATTCCAGCCAGCATTAGCAATCATCGGAGTGATAAGAGTTGTAGTCTAACAACATCTGGAGGGCCATATGTTCCCCATCACTAGTTGAAACAGATAACATTTTGATGATAACTTAATTCTTCTTTGTTTATGCCTGCATGCAGAAAATAATAGTATCATTATCAAATACACATGTAATCTGAGGTTCAAAGTTTTGCCTTGCCCCGCCCCCCCATTCATTCAAAATTTACCATAGAAAACCAGTCCAGTAAATTTCAACTAAAGCCTTCTTTGAAAACAAACACTATTATTTACAGGCTAACAATGACTCCAGTTTGCTTGTCACATAAATTCTGGAAGACACAAATGTCAGTACATACTGTTCAAAATAAATTGTTTCAGGTTGGCTAAAGTTACCATGCAAAAATGGCATGGGGCCTCCCTTAGTTATAGCTGTTATTTTAAGCCACATTTTATGCATGCATGATATGAAGGCAGGAAGTGAGCTTAGTTGGGTTGATCTGTGTAAAACTTGAAAGCCTGGTTGAGATTACTATAGTCTCCAATCACATAGGTGAGCTACTTTTTAAACAAGCTGAATATTTGTGCTTTTGTGGAATTGCTATTCTAATTAATCATTGGTGTGTTTGAAAGGCAAATGCACATGCTATACCTAGGATTCCCCTCCAAAAATCTGAAATGATGTCTTAATAGCAGTTCAATCCTGTTACATCCACACACACACGAATGAAAACTAGAGTAGTTGTTGGCACCAGTGCTTAGCTTTAAAGGGATTCATTTTCAGAAATGATTTCCTTGTAACAAAGAAACTAATGTTGGTCCAACAAAGCAATTTGAATTTGGAGTTCAAATACAAGTTCTTGCTTCTGTACCCTGACACAAACTACTTTGTAGTATTGTTCATTGTTTCAAAGTAGTACTGAATACCCATATATCCCAATTAAAGAAAGAGCTGGGGATAAGGGCCCATGCCCTATTTTTGATGGCCAGGTATAAAACTTGGTTTTGCTATTACTAGCTGTAAAATCACAATATTGTATAATAAAGGAAGCATTTAAGACTACTTAATCTTCCTATAGTCTATCATTCACAGTCATTTTGAGAAGAAGGTTGTGAGTACTGACTGCAATTCTGTGGTATTGTATACCTACTTTTTCTGCTTGTAACTAAACAAATATATAGAATTCTGCAATTGTAAAACTCCATTACTGATGTGATTCTTGCTCTTAATGTCTTGTAGCAAGGAATAACCACAAATGCCTCTTAGTGGCAGATAATTTGATAGCTGCACTCCTGTTAAGGGGACACTTGTTTTGTTGGGTGGCGTTAAGGGTCTTCTGGGGGTGATGTACCATTTTAGTTGTATGTGCATGTGTTCTCTGCTGCAGGCTTGTCCATGCGATCGTGCCTAGAGCACTCTGGTTTCCAGGTGACAGACACGATTCACGGTATAGTATGAGATCTCTGAAGTTGGAGCATTCTCTACGGGTTTCATTTCTTTATGACTCAGAGTGTGAAGTTATCATGAAAATGCTTGCCTTATTAACATTTTTATAATGTCCAAACTGTTGAGAACAGACTACTAAAATAGTGCATTCAACACCCCACCTTCCTTTTGCTCCTTTTAAAGAATGGTAACTTGATCAGAAGTAAAAAGGATTAGGGATGTTCTTGGTGTTAGTAGGAATGTTGTAATAACATCTCTTATTCTTTCTGCTGTAGCATATTTTATTAAAAATGGTTGACACCACCTGTTTTGATGTTTCTCAGTCTTGAGAAACCTCCCTCTGTAGTCTCAACATTGCAACTTTTGTACTTATATTTTAAGCCTGGAATACAATTGGGTACAAAACTACCAGAGATAAGTAATTTCATCTTGTAAAGGTTAGGTGCGTGGCCTGCAGAACTGGCCAGGATGATAAATAATGCCAAACTCTTGCTAGCTTTTCTGATGGCAGAGGAATTGCCACTCTGTCATTTTATTACTAAAGTCTGTATTTGGGTATTGACATAGTAAGACTGAACCTTAGTTTTCCAGGCTGCATTTCAGTTTATACTGGTAGCTTTTCTAGTGCTAAACTTCAGAACTTATTGTTATTACATGACAACCCAGTACAAATATGACCAGCTTCATATTTTGGATGTCCTGTCTCCTCAACTGGATTCATATTATCATGGAATTACATTCTCGCCTCTCATCTGTTATATATAAATAGAAACTGTGAAAAGCAAAACATAATGTTCAGCCTAAAGTGCAGTAATGTATGATAATCAGTATTACTAGTTAAATTTTGCTGTTAAATTAGCCTTGCACCCTATTTTCATTTTTAAAAAATCAAATTGTACTACCAAAGAAAGTTTGGGCCACAACAGTGAAAATGGTATCCCCATCACTTCAATTTTATATGGAAGATCTGCACAGTAGCGGTTTGTGCATTTTATAGTATTAAATTGGAAAATGACAACATTATTCTCTAGTCTCTTACTTCATCAGACTACTACGGCCTTGAGAGGCAAGAGGTGGTAGCATCTCTTCATGTTTAAGAGACCAAGTAGCTTACTCTATTAAGCAGGTCTTGCTAACAAGCAGGAAGGAGTCTGACAGCATGATTACACAAAGATGATGTATTAGATGCCTGCTCATCTCAAGCCTCTGCAGGATATCAAACAGCTACAACAGCTTTTTCCTGCAACACAATCCCGTTAGCTTAATTTTTGGTAGAAGCTGTACAATAGGTTTCCTGTTATCTCCTTGGAAATTGGCCATTGTCCACACAATAAGAGTCCTGTTTTAAGAATGTACTGGGTCACTATCTAAGCAGGTATCTGGAATGTGGGCAAATTAGTCTGGTGGTTTTTGCTTCAAAGTTCATGAAGCAAATACCTGAATATACTTTTAGCTTTAATGCTTTCCAGGCCCACTCTTTTTTTGGTTGATACAGTCAAGTGTAGTATAGAATTCTTTTATTTGGATATCATATCCATAACATTTTCTTTCACTTCAAGCTAATAAACCAGTTTGGACAACTGAGTTTTTTAGCGAAGTGTTTGAAGAGTACTAATGAAAAAATACTGACCAGTCTTTTCAGTGTGTAATCCAAGTACGTTAGGTGGGTACTTTCTATGATCCTGGGAAAAACCTCTCTAATCCAATTTGCTTCTGATAGATTATACCATCACAGGGGAGCATCAAGCAATAACTACTTCTGGGTGATATGCAGCTTTGACTGCTATTCAAGAAGTAGCCAAGGAGAAAATGGGGGCACTGACACATTATTTGTATAACATTGCTATTTTAATATGCAGTTGTAAACTTGCCCTTGTGAATATTCAAGATATGTGTGTTCATTGAAAGGGATGTAGTTTTACTGTAGCATATACTTATTCTTCTTAATTATAGCATTCTAATTGAAAGAATTATTATTTATGGAAAGCCATTTATTTCAAGTTGGAGCAAGGCAGCTGTGAAAAATTCATAAGCCTTTAAACAATTGGTACTGGTTATTTGTCCATTTGGTTCTTGGTTAAGGAATATTAGAGCAGAAAAAGTATCCTCAGTTCCATTGTCCTCATTTAATTTTAATAATTTTAATTGAAGGCTTCCTTTAGGGGCCTCTAAAGTAGCATTGCAGATTTGCATCATTAGTAGCCATAGTAAACTACTGCTTAAAGGAACTGCAAAGTGGAATAGGCCTTATAGCTTTGAAGTTCTTAATGAACTACAAAGATTTTTATTTCTGCAATTATAGTAAAAGCATGTGCCATTGAGTCCAGAAGCTAAAGCACAACTTGGGACCTTAGAAAATGCTTTGCGATAGGCCAGAACAAGCACGCTTCAGTTCACTAGGTCTGGAACTGAAAATTGCTTTGCTTGCTTATATTGCTTTGAGAAATGACGTAAGATTATATCTAAAATGCCTTAAATATTGTTGTTACTTTACAGTAGAAAAGAGATCTGTCAACAAGTTGTAACTGGGATAAGTGAGTGCCTCCTTTATGTGTAAAACTAGATAAAGTATTATGTATAAATAGTTTGTGAATATTGCTATATTTCCTTTAACTTGGTTCCACTGTTCTACTGGCTTGCTAGCTTGTATCTTTGTTGCAAAACTGAGTTTATAGTAAAGCTTCACTTGGTCCTTCCATATTTGGATGCTTCTGTGTACGGTACTAGGAATTTTGGGCTCCCAGCTGCTGTAGTCATACAGAAGACCACATCCCGTGCTAGTGGTCTTGTATGTTTTGTCTCTATAGGCAAGCTGATATATTAGGTTTCAATGGCACATCCTTTTTTTAAGTACCTAGAGTGATGTCTCGTGTGAAGTTGCATTTCTCATCCTAATACTCTGTCAGATGAATATCAAGTAAATAGCTGTAAGACTTTCCGAATCCTCCTAATTGTGATGGCTGCAGCTTATTGCTTATGTTGATTTTCAACATCTCATTGTAAATGTTGACTTTTCTCATTCATAGAGGTCCTGTAATAAAGGAGGATCTGGACAGGCTCAGAAAGAAAATGATTTACAAGTAAGTTTTATCTTTTTTTTTTGTTACCATATCAGGCAGCTGCTATAAAGTGCAATATGTATTTGCTTTTTTATACTCTTAGAGCTGTTTTTTTTTAAAACAAAAACCAATTTGCTCATGTCTAGGTCCTGTTTGTTTGCTCCAGTGTTTCAAAAACAGTGCTTTCCGCACCTGTCTTTGGGTTCTTACGTTCTGTAATTCTAGTCTAGGGGGTCTGCATGGTTCCCCTGCATAAAATAGGTTTCAGTAGCACATATATGACACGCATGACTGATATTACAGTTTGTAAACAGATTTGAGGGGTAACACTTCATCCTATGGGTTCATACAATTTATTCGCTTTAAGGGTTGTTAACAGTAAAGCATGCAAAACTTCTGAGATGACCTAGGCTATTTCTAGGCTATTCTTCTGTCCTGTCACATTGTGTAACCCTGCAGCTGTGTTTGTATATAATTATGTAGTACCGTAATTCACACTGCAAGGTACAGCAGTTCTTCATAAGCAAATCCGTTTAAGAAAAAAGGTTGCAACTTGCTGCCTGATCCAGCACAGACCTGCTGCAGAGAAAGTACTGCAGCCTACCAAAATGTCCCCCATAAGCAAATTACTCATAGGGGGGAGACCTTTGAGGAATAAGAATGCATCTTAAAATAACTACTTAAACATGGATCCTATCTCTGAATCCTGAGTCTACATTTTCGTAAATGCCTAACTAAAACACTGAAGGATTAACCTTGAAAGTCTCCATTTGAATTAGTCCAATAACTTTGAAGTTAAAAATTAACACCATTCATTGCCTAAAGCTTATTCTCAAATTGCTTTCAAGAGTTATTTGAGTAAATCATTGGTAATTATAAAAGCCTTTATTTCCAAAGGTGCAATGAATCATTCATAAGATAAAGACAAAACCGAATTGAAACTAGTGTATTTTTACTGAAGTACATCTGAACTAAACAATTAGATCTTGGATCCAAAGTATATGGCAGTACTTTCTAGTATACCTCTTTGAACTAGCAAACTTATGCAGACTACAAACATCATTTCTAGAATCACTCAATGAATCACATCAGCATTCTGCTTAAAAGACGGTCAGTAGAACAGTATATATTGGTATTTAGTGTAGTGGAATGTGTGCTGTAGGTCTACTTTGTATAAAACTGGCTACCATACATTGGATTGGAATTAATATGGTATGCCAAATCTAATGTAATCACTAGTTTTAGAACTGCAAAGGTAATAGCAAAATCAAGGTTAATTTTTAACCAACCTTATAGCTTAAATTGTTGTATTTTATTTTTATATTCAGTGCAAAAATTCAGTACGCAAACAGTTAAATATTTAGAATTCCAAGTCTTCATTGACTATATATTGTGAAGGATGAAAACAGCTGTTTTCTGTTAGTGGTAAATTACAGTTTAAGAAATTAATACAGATACAGATTTGGATAGTTTTGGTTAATCAGGAAAGTATTCAGTGTACATAGCCTGACTGAACAGAATAAGATTCTTAATCAGCTGGTGCTATTCAGGTCCTATTAAAAATTGGGGGGGGCGGACTTCCTCTTGAGCAGATGTGAGCAGCCTCTGACCTATGGGCCAGATTACCTTGCCAAAGGTCCTTATTTAGCTTGCAAGGTTGTTTCCTCCCCATTCTTGCCCACCTGGCATCATATGCAACATCAGGTGTAGGGCAGTAAAAGATGCAGCTGCAAATGAATAATGGGGTATCTTAAAAGTGTGCTCCTGGTTTGTTCCTTTTCCAGCTGGATTTGTGCTATGGTCTTACGGCTGGTGAAGGTAGTAGTCCAAACATCTGGAAGACACTAGATTGGTGAATGCTTAGACGAACTTAAAGAGGCGTATTAACTCTCATAACAGGGAACTTTTGTTTGTAAACTCAAATGGTACTCATTTATTATTTTTTAAGCCACTTGTTCTCATTCTTAGACTGGAAGGTAGTATTACAACCCACCCAGTTGGTCAACAGGTAGCCAGTAATAAATTCTAATACTGTGATAGCATAATCTAAGTCTTACACGGTTTTTATTGCACGTTTTGCAATACTGTAGTTTGAATACTGCAATATTCTGTATCCGATTCTATATCTGAATCTAACTGATAGTTGTAAATCTCTTTTTGTTAATCTCCTCAACTGTATCTCCCTTCATATTATATATATTATATAAGTACCTGTTTCAGTTACTTTGTTTTCTTTAGGGTGCAGAAGCTGTGGTTCTGGAGAGTGTTATGTTTGCCATTCTTGCAGAGAGAGCTCTTGGACCAAAGCTCTATGGAATCTTTCCACAAGGCCGGCTGGAGGAATTCATTCCTGTGAGTGCCAACTATTAGTATGTGGAAGTTGTAACTGAATAGGACTGTGTCCTTCCTTGTGGTGCTAGCAAAGATAAATGTGGGATATCTGCTAGTGTGTAGCTTTCTGTAGTTTGATTTGGCATAAGGAGAATGGAAGCTGCTGTCTCAGTTTTTGGATTTAACTCCTTATAGCTCTTAATTAGGGTGGAGCAGAGTGTACTGTACCCTACTCAGTAGTAGAGGAACCTGTGGTAAACTATAGCAGTGGGAAACCAAAGTGCACCCCACTCACTTCCTAGGTTCCTTATATTTGTTTTTATCATTATAGGTTGGTTGTTTCAACAATAAAGTTGATACTGAAATTTCCAATGCTTGTATTCCTCCTAATTAATATCCATGCTATATGTTTCAGAGCAGGAAGTTGGATACGGATGAACTGGGCTTGCCTGATATATCAGCAGAAATAGCTGAGAAAATGGCTAGGTTTCATGGTATGAAAATGCCATTTAATAAAGAACCAAAGTGGCTCTTTGGAACCATGGAGAAGTAAGCAATTGTAATTTTATTGTCTATAATGTTAGATTAGTAAGATATTTATTTAATAATAAAATAAAAATAAAAATTGTTATCTTACATTATTAAATTTGTATACCGCTGTATACCCGCAGATCTTAGGGTGGCTACAACATAAAATCACAACATAAAAACACTGTATATGTATATATATAACCCCACACATGTTAAAAAGGGCATTAGATGTTGATCAGCCAAAGGCCTGGTTAAAAAGGAATGTTTTTGCCTGGTGCCTAAAGGTGTATAATGAAGTTTAATGCCACTTATTTCAGCTCAAAGGAGGGGTTTATTGGAAGGTTGCCTCCTTTTTTATGGTATGGAAGGTATCTTTCCTTGGGCTAATTTGCGGTTGCCAGGAAGTCGTTTTTAAAGTTTCTGTTTTATTTTTTTTACACAAAGACTCTCCTCCTGCAAGAGAGGGGAGTGGTTGTGTTCGGGAGCCGGACTCCGCCTCAAGCAGGGGGCGTTAGCCCCCTGCCTCCCACTCACCTGGCTGGCCTACGCCCACGGGCAGGAACCCAACCAGGTGCCTTCGAAGGGGGCATGTTTAGCAGCCCAAATTGCTGCGGCACCAGCCTTCCGGCCTCACTTTTCGTCGTCCCGTCGCGAGTCCCGTGGGCTCGGGTGGCGGTTAGGCATTGGAATAATGTGTTGTGGTGTGTCGAAGGGCTAGGTGTGGCCATCGCCTATGCCTTCCATTTTTGGGTATTCCGTTAAAGGAATCTGGCGGTCGTGTATTCTGTCCGATGCCTGCTTGGCGGGAGGCCATGGCACGACCCTCGGTGACATCAGGGGAGAGCTTATAGTTGGATTAGCATCAACAGGCTCCACCTACTGGTGAATAAACCCCCCTGTTTTAGACTCACCCCTCTCTGAGGGGGTGGAGTCAGCTGACGTAATCCAATGCCTAAGCCAATACCTTTTCACTTGCTGTAATCAATAAAGTTGTGGCCTTTTCTTGCCCATTAACCTTATATCATGTGTCCTCGTGTTTTCATTCCACTACGCGGGGATCGGGTCCTCGAACCACAATTACTTTGTGATGGTTATGGGGAGAGGCGGGGGAACTGTAGAAATACTAACTGTTCAACAAAATCTTTGTGCAGGTACTTAAACCAAGTGATGAGAATCAAGTTTACCAGAGAGTCACGTGTTAGAAAACTGAACAAGATCCTCAGTTACAACCTGCCTCAAGAAATGAAAAATCTACGGTAGCGTTCTAACTCTTGACAATTTTCATTTGCTTTACAACTCTCAAGTGACTGCAGACATTTTCAGTCAAACATAACGTTAACTAAAGAAACTTGCATTTTATTATTGTCAGTGGACTTGCATTTTATTATTGTCTTGTATTTTATTATTGTCAGTGGATATTCCTAAACATCTAAGTATATAATTACCACATCGGCTGGGGATATAATTATATATGGTCGATCATGAACTTCTGGACCACCGCCTTGCCGACGTGGGGATCCAGGGCACAGTCCTTCAATGGCTGCGCTCGTTTCTCTCTGGTCGGGGACAGAGGGTGGCGCTTGGGGGGGAATTGTCATCGCGTCACTCCTTGGTGTGTGGAGTACCTCAGGGTGCGATACTCTCCCCGATGCTTTTCAACATCTTTATGCGCCCCCTCGCCCAGCTTGTTCGGAGTTTTGGGCTGGGTTGCCATCAGTATGCTGATGACACCCAACTCTATCTGTTGATGGATGGCCATCCTGACTCGGCCCCAGACACACTGACCAGATGTTTGGAAGCTGTGGCTGGATGGTTACGTGGGAGCCGGTTGAAGCTAAATCCTTCGAAGACAGAGGTCCTGTGGCTGGGACAGGGCGATATGGGATTGGGGGGGGGGCAACTCCCATCTCTTGCGGGGGTGCAATTAGTGCCAGCACCATCCGTTAAGAGTTTGGGTGTAATCTTCGACACCTCCCTTTCCATGGAGGCGCAGATTGCAGCTATAACAAAGGCGGCATTTTTCCATCTCCGCCAAGCTAAGCAGTTTGCTCCTTACCTCTCTCGCCCTGACCTAGCCACTGTGATCCATGCGACGGTCACCTCCAGACTGGATTATTGTAACTCGCTCTACGTGGGGCTGCCTTTGAGACTGACCCAGAAACTCCAGCGGGTGCAGAATGCTGCAGCGAGACTCCTTACGAGGTCTTCGCTGCGAGATCACATTCACCCGGTGCTATACCAGCTGCACTGGCTCCCGGTGGAGTACAGGATCAGGTTTAAGGTGCTGGTTTTAACCTTTAAAGCCCTATACGGCTTAGGACCCTCGTACCTACGGGACCGCCTCTCCTGGTATGCCCCACAGAGAAACTTACAGTCTTCAAATAAAAACATCTTGAAGGTCCCAGGCCACAGAGAAGTTAGGCTGGCCTCAACGAGAGCCAGGGCCTTTTCGGCTGTGGCTCCGATCTGGTGGAACACTCTTGTCACAAGAGACCAGGGCCCTGCGGGACTTGACATCTTTCCGCAGGGCCTGCAAGACAGAGCTGTTCCACCAGGCCTTTGGCAAGGGCACAGCCTGACTCCCTCCTTCGGCAATCTTCGCGGAGCTCTGGCCCAATGGCTGCCAGTGGCTTGAATTAATTAATTTTAGAATGAATGATTTTAGAGTGTTGTTTATGTTGTACTTTTGTACTGTTTTATTGTTGTTAGCCGCCCTGAGCCCGGCTAAGGCTGGGGAGGGCGGGATATAAATAAAATTTATTATTATTATTATTATTATTATTGTAGCCGATTCAGGCAACAGTGTTTTGATTGCTTAGCTTGGAAGTTTCCTTTTTAGTGCACCACACAATGAAATTCCAATATAGTCAAATGGTCTAGCGTTCATTGGGTCTGTGCACAATGTCACAGCAAGTTAAGTCACTTCTGCAGAGTGTTGTCCATTGCAACTTGGATCCATAGAGATAGTCAAGGTAATTTGGGTTCCATACTGTGGTATAGCAGAAGTCTTTAACCTAGTTCTCCAGTGAGTGAAATAAATGATTAGATGCTTTAGAAATGAAAGCTGCTTCTTCCTTGGAAATATTTTAACAAGAGACACTCTTACCATGAATTATAATGTCAGCTTCGCTGTCCACACACAGGCAGTAAAGGAATCTCTAGTAGGTCTCCATGGCGGAATGTAGACTTGTTAAAAATAATAATTCTGGAGGCACTACGTGGTTCCTCTGCCCCACCATCCACAATAAGCATTCTAAAGGGAGAAAAATAATTTGATAACATTAGAATCTCTTAAGCCCTCCTGACAGACCATCGCTGTTCCTAGAGTGGGGGAACGGAAAGCCAGCAAGTGCCTAAATGCACTTATTTGCAGTGCTTTGCCTTTTCCTTGGAGTAGGAGTAGGTACAGGAAAAAGCAGCTTTAGTGGACACACAGCTTGAGGAGTTTTGATTGAGAAGAGTTGTGATGTCTGCTCCTGAGGTTCTTCAGTGGCGGTAGGCAGCAGAGAGCTGAAAAATATTCTTACTTGCCGTACACTTTCAACACACTTTTCTTGCTTGTCTTTTACTGCTTAAGTGAGAGAACAGTTGACATTAGAACTACTATTCAGTTTAGCTCTTTTTCTCTCTTCCAGGTCCTTGCTTGAAGCTACTTCATCTCCAGTTGTGTTTTGCCATAATGACTGCCAAGAAGGTATCATAACACTGTTGCATTATTTTAAAAATGTAATAACTTTGCTTGAAAGTTGGTCTGTTACAAATTAAAGTCATTAGTTTGAGATAAATACCATATCATAATTGAAGGAATATTCTGTTTAGAATCTAGAACTGGTTTTTACTGGGGAAAGGTCTTAAGGCTGGAGTGAGACAGGCTAAGTAGTGATGCAAACCATGTTGTATCTTCATTTGTTGCAGGTTACAGTGAAGAAAAATCTGGGCTGTATTAAAGCAAATCAACTTTGTACAGTAGCCCCTGCTTATATTGTATACTGTGATAAAATAATACGGCATGGACAGTGCTGTTGTACAGCAAGTTGCCAATATCCCATCAGAAGAAATGGAACCTAAGTTGAATAGAAGTAGGGACAGGTTATTTCAGTCTTTCCCAGTGCTTATTACTTTATATCTCTCTTCTCCCAGGAAATATTTTGCTTCTTGAAGGTAGAGAGGATTCTGAGAAGCAAAAATTGATGCTTATTGACTTTGAGTACAGCAGCTACAATTATAGGTAAACGTTGGACCTTTGTATTTTTTCAAAAACGAAATTTCCATCTTAGTTTTCCAGCTTAGTTTTCCTCAACTATATTTCTGTACTTAGCCGTTTTTTGATTTATTGAGATTTCCAGTGTTTCCCAAGTTTAATAAAATAACTTTGTGTTTGCATCTAATGCTTGAAAATCAGACTACTTTGCTAAATACTGGAAGGATTTTGAAAGTTTTTGCTAGATATATTTTGATTGTGTTTATGCTAGTCAGTAGCATTAAAAATTGCCTGTACGTACTCTCTTTCAGTTAGTAAAATGTAGCTGCAGCATTTTGTTTTCTTCTAACATGCTGTCTCGCCGGTACCTGGCTAACTTACTGGTGTTGTTACAAATGGAAATAACATCCACTGATAATGTTTATGGTAAAGCTCATGCTTTACATGTATAACATCCCCAGTTCACTTGTTTGTATTTTCAGTTACAGCAGTTGTTTGTTGGTTAAATTTGCTTGTTGCTTTATCTTGCATAAAGTAACCCAAAGCCACTTAAAGCCTCAATAGAGATACATTAAACCAAGAGGAAAAAGTAATACATTAAAAACATCCTCCTCACTTCTAAAAGGTCACAGATAGTTAATGACCAAAGACCTCGTTATAGAGGAAAGTTTTTGCCTGGAGCCTAAAGATATATAATGATGGTGCCAGGTGAACGTCCCTGGAGTAAGAGTTGAACAATACTGGCCTAGACTAATGTGATATTTGATGCTAAATGGCATCTGCAAGCTTCTCAAAATTAGGTGTGTATGAGATGGTAGCGATAATTTTTCTGCCATTGTACTGTGATCTCCCTTCCCCAACCACATTGGGAACAATCAAATTGGTGCTAATAATGGTGCCACTTGAATGCTGCTCCTAAAAAAAAAAAAACCTATACCATTGTACTGTAAATTACCTATACAGTGAATTCTTAGTGAATGTCTGGTCTTTACCTCCTGCACAGCAGAGACATGCCTAAGCCTCATTCCAAAGTTTTCACTTTTGCTTGTGGTTGGAAGGTGGGATACGTTTACTGTGTAATCGTATTTGCAAAAAAATAGCTTCTAGGAGCAACCTGATCTCAGATACTGGATTGAAACTTGTTATTAGTATATGTGACATGGATTTCTGTGTCTGTGGATCAGTAATAAGTAGCCAAGAAATGTTAATCTGGGAACAAGCAATAGAATGTGTTTTTGGTTTTTTTGCAAAGCTTAAAAAATTCCTTATATTTTGAATATTCTTCACTCTAGAGGGTTTGACATTGGAAATCATTTCTGTGAATGGATGTATGACTATGTGTATGAAAAATACCCATTCTTTAAAGCGAACTTCCTGAAGTATCCCTCAAGGAAGCAACAGGTGAGCAGTAAAACAATTACCTTGAATTTTGAGGTCTTCTGGCTTCCAATTCCATTTCTAACTATCTGGATGTGAAAGGGATTTCATTTCAGAGCTTAGTCTGTGGGTGATTGTAGCCAGTGAAGCCAATGTTGCACAAGCAGATTTCTAATCGTACATGCTTGCAGGTCCCTCAAAGTCTGCTCTATAGCGCCACCCAACCCCAAGCAGGTTTTGAGGGGCATGCAAGGGCGAAGTCTTATTATGTAGCCAAAGTCCATTTCACTGATAGGCAAACATAATTTGCTGTATCTTCCGCTTTAACTTTACAACTTGTCATACTCAATTTTTTGACATTGTAAAATTTTATAACATGACCTCAGTAGCAGCCGTTCATATTGCCCCACAGTAGTCCCAAAATCTCAAGTCCTCTGTAATAAAGTTTCTGAATTTCAGTGTTTGCTTAAAGAGCATCTAGAGTTGGAGGCAATGTTTATTACATACAGGATATCTTTTGTTAACTTCAGTACTCATGTCCCATTTTATACATGGCCAGTTAGTAATTGTTTTGCCACTATAACACTAAATCACATTTAGATTATTATTATTACCATATTTTTCCATATATGATGACCTTTTTTATGGAAAAAATTAGTGAATTTCTTACTTTTGGGATCCCAAAAATAGGGGTGATCTTACACATGGGGTCAGGTTATACACAAAAAAATATGGTAATTAAATTTCCACACCACCCTTCAAGGATCACAGGTTGGTTTACAGTATAACACAAAAATACATAACTTAGTAAGAAACGAAAACAATAACCACTCCAGCATAAAAGCCATAGATTGTTTATTTAGCCAAAGGCCTGGGAGAAAAGGTGTGTTTTTGCTTGGCGCCTAAAAATAATGGAACAAAGGGACCAGGTGAGCCTCTCTGGGATGAGAATCCCACAATCTTAAAGACTGAGCAACTTGTTTGGCCTCATGGAAATTTGTTAAAAGCAAAACTGGAATACAAAACTCTACTAGGACCAATACTTAGCTAAAACAAATGTGACTGCAGGTATTAAAACTTCTTTGGAACCGTGCCAGTGATTTAATAGCTGAAAATACCTATTTGCCCAAATGACTGAGCCACTGTTCTGACTGCTTTCTGTGCTTTTCAGCTCCACTTCATCTCCAGTTACCTAGTTGCATCTCAAAGTGGGTTTGAAAATCTGAGCAACGAAGATAAGTCCAAAATAGAAGAAGAAATGTTGGTTGAAGTAAACAGGTAACTTCTGTCTTCATTCTGGATTTACAGTATGTGATCCTGTTGCTGAATCTTGCTTTCAGTGAAAATGTAAATTGTTCATGCTGCCTTAAGAAATCTTAGCAGTGTTTAATCTAGACTGTGCTCTAAAATGATTAATTTTAAGCAATGAAGATCTAGAAGCTATATATCCTTAAAGTAGGACAAGTGGGGACCCATATGGAATATTATCCATAATCATTTGTCCTGACGGGTGGAGCTCATTTGCTGCCTGCTTTGAGAACAGCTGCTCCCATTTCCTAGAACTGAAGCAGAGGGTTCAGGGCGCAATGGTTAAAATCACAAAAAGCATTCACTCAGGGACATTTTTAGTTCTAAACAGCAATTCAAAGTATTGTTGTTGATCTTGAAAGCCCTAAATGATGGTTCTAGGATACCTTAGGGGGCATTTTCTCTCATTCCAGCCTTCCTGTGCCCTAAGAGGCCCTTCTGTGGAGAGGCTGAGGTAACATTGGTTGGCATGAGGGCTTTCTCAGTGACTGCACCCAGATTTTAGAGTACCTTCCCCATGAGATCTATTTGGACATCCTGCTTTTCTATGACTGGTTAAAGGTTCCCTGTCCTGGTAAGCATTTGTCTTGCTGGGCATGAGAGTTTTAGGGGACGGACCCTCACTTTCAGAACGTTTATCTGCTGAACCTGCATGGCAGATTCCTGCATTGCAGGGGGTTGGAATAGGTGACCCTTAGAATCCCTTCCAACTCTTTACCATTCTACGATTCTATGAACCTGATTTCTGTTTTTCATGCTTTTGCTTTATTTTTATGACTGTGGTTTTAGCTGTTAGAAGCTGCCTTGAGTAGTGCATATGTACTGGAAGGGTAGAGCATAAGTTTTCTACAATAAACAAACCATCCGGAGGCAGAGTGAGAACACATCCTGGATTGTCCTCCTTGAGAAGTTGCATTTCTTATGTATTCTGTATGGTTGAAATGAGCATGCTGTTGATGTAACAATCCTAGGCTACTTCACTTTGGTTAAAAGAGGCAAGGGTGAATTCTACATTATATACTGGAACGTCTAAAAAAAATAATACATTTCTCTTGACAGGTTTGCCCTTGCATCTCATTTCTTCTGGGGTCTGTGGTCCATTATACAGGCAAGATATCATCTATTGAGTTTGGATACATGGTAAGTCTTCAAACTTTCAATGCTTAATGCTCAGCAGTGTGATTACTATGTCCATGTAATCTAGGTACTCTACCCTGATAATTATCCCGCCTACCAAGCCTCTGTTTGTACATCATTCAGTCTAACTGCCAGCCAGCCAGGACTGATCTTTTGTTTGTGCAATACTGGAGTAGTAGTTATACAAGACCTTAATGAAGGGGCAAGAACTTCCTCCACAAAAGAGCCACATTCCCTCAGGCATAATTTGCCAGAGGCAAAAGTGGGGAGGGCACAGGTGTGCATGCACATAAACATGAATGGATTTGGGATGGGTGGATAGATAATACTTTCCCCCCCCCCTGTAATTTGCATTGGGGGAGAGAGCTCCCATTTGTTCTAGTGCTAGGTTTTTTCCACTGTAAATTGCAGATTTGGGATGGCCTGCTCTAGTTTTAACGCCAGAGTGGAGAGAGAAAAATGTTAAAGTCTCCTGAATTTGCTGCATTTCTGAGCTGGCCAGGGAGACAGGTGTCCTCTCCAGACACAGTCTGGAGGGGTGGGGAGGCCTGGGGAGGGAAAGGCCTAACTGTCCAGATAAAACATATTCACTGGACCCAGAGGCTCACCATCCCTGCCTTTATGGATGCTGCTCTTAACACCCCAAAGAGCTGTCCATCGACATTACAGGATGCCTTGCTTCAGTTATCTCATCAGTTTTGATTTCTCCCATCTTATTATTGCTCTTTATATTATTTTCAAAAATATGCCTGTAATATTCAGTGACAAGACTTTGAGTGGAAATGTAAATGTAGTATACCTTTGCGTCCATATTGTATCAGTAAAGATTACATACTGGACAGCTTGCATTGCAAGCAGCGTTTCTTGGCGCATGAATATTGCATTGCGCACATGTCGAATTAGGTTCCTCGGACAGGATTTCTTACCATTTCGCTGGTCTGTATCATAAGTTAAGCGCATGTCTACATACAAACGAATATACCATCGTCAAGCTTCCCATGTAACTTATTCCTGTCACGTCACTATAGGGCGTATATGCACTCTCAAGATATATGAACTCGCCTACTGTGAGTACTCATAATAAAAGGAACCGGCGCTATAAAAACGTGTGCATATGAGCGTTCAATCGCAAGAATAGGACTACGATCATATTAACCTCCCAAGCCTCTACCTACGGCTTTGGGTTTACGTAGGTGAGGGGCGACACAATGTTATATCAAGGGAGGTGGGCAACGAAACACTCTCAGATAGCACATCGAGAGGCAAATTTGACACTGTGCTTCTACGCCGTGGTTTACAGTGGCTAGTGTGTTTCATGTGTATGCTACGCGTTTTTGTGCAATTATATCTATATCCTTTCGTGATTCCTTATATATCTCTGTTCGCTGTTAATGTTTGTCTCTCTTATAGCACTGGTAAGTAGCTGCAGATCCAAACTGCTCGTCTAATGCAATTTACTTTCTATTTATCAGATTTACGCTTTACGTTTCAATCTTAGTGTTTCCTCCTATACTGGGAAGTTTTGTTCAAGAATTGAGTTACGGATGCCTTTATAAGCTAATAATAACAGTTGCTACATCATGCTCGAAGTCGTGGTTTTAATCTATTATGGTTGACTGACTCTCACTCCCGAGGGAAAGCCTCCTTGTGCTGTATTCCTTAGTAAACGGAATACTCATACACTCTTTGGTGACAGAGACGAACGCATAGAACAAGTGGATTAACTTTGTGTGTGACATAAATCCCATCGGAACATAGGCTAACTCGAGATTCGAGGACCGGATCTGGTCTCAAGGACTTTACTGATCATTTTTTACGTTCGCACTCTCTGTACTGAGATACTTCACAGGAGATCGTCACCTAATATCTGCCGAGTTCCTTATTAGCGGTTGAGCAGTTCATAGCATTCCTACTGAATCCGTGTTGTCGCACACTATTATTTTATCACATACTATCAGTGTTTTGACTCTACTAATTATTGTAAGTTCTATAGCGCGACTATGTTTTTTATCACTACATTTACTTCATAACTTTTTAATGCAGTTTGTGCTACATTTTCTTAGGCCAATAGCATACATTCTCAGGGCTTCAAAATACACCCCTCCCACAATTTGCTGCTGCAATTCAGGAGGAGGTAAGTACGTTCTTGCGAACATCGGTTATCATACCTGAATCTTGAGAGACAAATTTCTTAGTGGGCCTGAGTATAATCTCACTTATATACACATTGAGTCTAACGGTTTGATCTTTTTCTCACTCTATAGCTGTAACACCCCCTCACACTCGGCTTCGGGGTGGGTTTCTAACCCAATTCACTAAGCTGACTGTCTGTTGTAAGTCTATTTACCATGGATGTCCAGTGCGTATCATACTTGACAAACCTCACCTTTTTAACTAGCTGGAGGTAGCCACCAACCCAACAGGTCACCGGCGCAATTGTCACTAAGCCAATTTACTAACACTAATCACAGCCCATACTGGGACATCGAAAAATACCCATAGGACGATTAAAAGGCAGTTGCATTTTAATAATACCGAGCGCTTCTTCCATGCCATGACACTAATGTAAGCTTTCTTCAACAAATCTCGCAAACGGATTCTTCGGAGCTACAACAAAGTACAACGAGCTGCGATTCTCTCCTTTAGTCATCTTGGATTATCCACACAGCTCACGAATTGCTGTCCGATTAGCTCATTCCCAATACACTCAAGAAGTGCTCACTTTCACTGGCCCCGAGCAACAGTCCTGCAGTTATGCATTGTTGTACAGGATGTTCCCTGCGCAGGCAGACACTGGGATGAGTGCCTTGAATTCCTCTCCTGCCCCTCTCTGCTTGAGGAGGAGAGAGGGCAAATGAGACGGGAGCAAGCGAGGAACATTTGACCAATTGTGGCATGCTGGTGCCTTGTGGGGCACACGGCTCCTTGTTTAAACCCTGCTGCTTTCCCCATCAGATAAGTGGATGTTTCTTTGTGCAGAAAAGACATTAAAATATATACGTGAACTTTACAATAAGTGTATGTTACTTTGAGAGCTTCTAGAAACATATCTTTTCACATCCTTATTTGACTTGTGCTTTCTGCTAACATGTATTACAAATAAACTTTTTAAAGTCTTTAACCTTTGCTCTCTTTGATTTTACTATGCGGCACGTGTCATTTAATTTACCAAATTCTCTAAATGAAAGGTATGGTAAATATGGATATTGTAGCATGCCACAAATGAAAGCGCAGCTTGGAGGATATTTGTACAGCTTACCGCTCAAGAGCATCCCACAGATATGCATTACGTACCATACCATTGCCGCAATCACCCCGGTGTACTCACGCCGTTATCGACAACTTGTCCAGATCTCCAGTCCTAACTCATCAAGCTAGCCCAACATCGAGTCGTTATTCAAAGTAGCACCCATGATTTACGTTTCCCCTACCTTCCGCTGCCGTAACCCAGAAGAAAACTCCAAGTCGACAGCGATTGTTCCTTACACCGTCCACTCGATAGACTCGCCACTCCCGCTAATGTTAGCGGTATCTCGTGTGTGTCATATTTCTCTGTTATCGATATATTCGACGCGAGCAGAAGAGAATATGAACAGGTGACGGCGCCTCTACCCTACATGACTCAATTCGTGCTTATGGGTCGTCTACTCCTTGTACCTTGAGTACTCAAGTTACTGGTGTGATTGATCAACTGTTTCCTGGATAGGCCAGAATACAATTCCACATAATCGACAACGCGCTGGATAAGAGACCTAAGACAGTACACTCTAATAAACTTGCCCATTGCTTCAACTAGCAGGAATAGTGAGCTCCCACTCCAACGTCACCGCTCAGACTAGAGCTTCTGAACTTACTATACTCAAGTTGACAGGTACGCACCACCATATCGATCATCATAAGGTAGACCACAAACCCTCTGCGCACAGTATAATGAGGTAAGAGCCAGGTGACAAAATGCAATGCGCTAGAAGGTTCTGGTAGTTAGGAGGAATGACCAGCAATAAAGATGATTAATTGCTGGCCTTGTTGGGTTGCAGGAGGGATTGTGTTTTATTACTTTAGCAACGTGCTCTCTTTTCTGGAAGGATAAAATGATACACAGTATGCAAGTAAACCTGCATAGGATCAGTAAGAAAAATTCCATCAATCCACTGTATTCATGAATTTGAAAGAACTGTGCTGTATATTCCTTTGTTAACGAGTGGGATTCACTTAACTAGCCCCTTTAGTGAAAGCCCTGAGGTAGGCGTCATATTTTTAATGCTTCCTTTTTTAAAAAACACAACAGCTTTGCATGTCGAAAGCTAGCAGGTCATAGAGAGGTTTAATGCAGCCTTGTGATTTACTATAATAGTTTTGCTACATGTTGGACGTTTTTGTAGATGAAGAGAGCATTTAGTGATGTGGCCCCTGTTCCTCCACCCTGGCAACTGCAATCAAGGGATACGCTCCAGAATGCTACCCCTCAAGTCTAGTACCTCTAAAGTGGTTAATATTAGCCACATTCTACATTAGCTCCTTGCACACACTAGGCAACTTCCTCTGGCCCAGGTGTTGCAGTGAATGCAGTTTGCTTACCAGTAGTTTGTTTGCCTGAACAACACAGTGAGTCATCTAGCTATATGTCACTCTTCTTAGAGCAGGGACATGTAGATATAAGAACACTGCAGTGAGAATGGAACATGTTTCAAATGCAAGTGTTGTACTAATTATCAAGCCCAGCAAGGAGAGGAAACTCTAATAATAGACTTCTTCCTGAATCAAAAGGAACAAACACAATTTGTTTTCGAGTCTGATGAACAAGGAAGTTCACAAGGTGATGAGTTTTAAACATAAAAAGGCATTGAGGTGTGTTTGGCCATCTAGGCCTCATCTAGATTTAGCTGCATCAAACTTGCATAAATGTGGTTGCTACCGTCACTACTATGTTTTGGTGAGATGAATTAACAACGACATTAGTTAATAAAGCAAAGGGATTACTACAAAAATATCCGGCAAAGCAAAAGTAGCTGAAGTCATCTGATTCCCCC